GTTGAAGATGTGGATTGAGATGAAGAGTACATCGAAAAGAAGTTCATGTATTGAAGAATATTAGACGTATAATTATTTGTCAATCATCAAAATCAGAAGAAAATTGATGGTGAAGAATATTAGGTGTATTTGTGTTATAGTTTTCATGGCGATTCTAACGATATCTCTCTTGGTATTGCCACTGGTTCTGCCGCCTCTTCCACCACCGCCGCTTTTGCTTCTCTTCCTTCCAGCTGTGCTCTTGGTGTTCCTCATCTTCTTGGCCTTCTCTCCTTCATTACCACCCACCGATGAGTCGGGTTAATTTCACATATGGTCAGTTAACTTTTACTTTATCGTACTATACTTGTGAATTACTTTTTGTAACATAATAATTACTTAACTGTCTTTTTAACAAAATAATCATTAATTCAACTTTACTTAAGAATCACATGTCACTAAATAATTACTTGTAATAATGAAGTGCTTCAACTTTTCTTGAGTATTTTATTAAAATGATCTCTTTTATTTCCTCTTGATGACTTTTTATGATATTTTGATAAAGTCGTGTCATTTTTTTTGTTCAAGAAAATAGTTTAATGATTTTTGTGATACTTAAATAGAATTAATTTTTTTGCGCTCAAAAATATTTTGACGATTTTAGTGCAATTAAATGAGTGGTGATCGTAACCATTAATGAAATCAACCCGATATGGTGAGTAGTCACCATGCACATGAAAGTAAATTAAAGGTGAAACAAGATTTTTATTTAATTATTTGATTTTTAGGATTTCAAATTATGTCTTATTTATTTTGTGGAATCATTTAGTAATTTTCGACTGTGATTAATTTATTCTCATGAGATGATCAAGTTACACTACTAAAAATAAAATAAAGTCTTTTTGTTACCAAACTTGGAGTGTTATTTTCCTTGATTTTGAGATTATATATCATGTTTTGTAAAGTTCTTTTTTTCTTGATAACGAAAGGATTTTATTTAGTTAGATAAGGTTTATCCATATAAAAGTGGTTTATTTATCCATATGTTTTGTAAAGTCACTTTGGTAAATAATAGTATAGTTTAGTTATCAAAGAAGAAATTATTATTGTGTTCTAGATTCTATTGTACCAATATTATATATGATAGTAAACACTTCATCGTACATATGAAGTGAATATCTAAGTTGAATTTTAGTAATTAAATTAAAGTTTGTCATTCCCAATTAGCGACATCTTATTTGTTTTAACAATGGGATAGATGATCATATAAATCATATTTATACTTAATTAAAAGAATCCATTACACATAGAATGACTGATATTATTTGGCAAAGAAAAAGTAACAAGATCAAAAGGCTTTCAAAAAAGTTGATTTGAGATTCAGTTTCAGTTAGCAACTAATTAAAAAGGACTAAGGTTTAGGAAGAAGGGATTATGCGGATTGTTAAGCAAAGAGTCTGTTTTTCCTCACCTCCCTTCTCAAGTGTCTGTATGTTCTCATCTACCTCCTTTCTTCAATTTATCGATTTCTAGTTTTTACTTTCAATATTTCAGTACGTTCGTTTGAGGCTTTACCATTAATTAAATTTACTTATTTTTGGAATTGTAATTGAACTTTTGGTGTTTTTATTAATGTAGTTGAGAAGTTGGTTATTGTTACATTGAATTTGAGTTCTTTGCAAAAGATAAAAATAAAAAAATGGCAAAGATGAAGTAAGGAAAAAATAAAAATAAAGGCAGAAACAGTTTGAAGAACAAAAACTAAACATGAAATTTTAAAAAAAGCACTAGGAAAACAAAGTTTGAAACATGAAAATATAAAATATAAATTAATAATAGGAATCTTTTACGTAAATAATCGGTCTGACTCACTATTGTTTATTTAGAAAAACTACTTAATTAGACAAATATTTCAATTACTAATTATCTCTATGGTTTGAAATAATTACATATTATCTCACTAATTGATAATTTCATACCAGATTTCAAGTCAGATACACCTAGATACATGTATTTTTGCTATCATATACACTAAAATAGTGAGAGAGGCAAGTGAGAGAATCTATGTATTCCAGATATATGCGAATCACACTAGATATATGTACCTGGGATACTAGATACATGTATTTGAGATATCAGATACAGGGAGAGAGGCGAGCGAGAGGAGGGTGGCAAGCGAGATTGAAGAAAGGAGAGTGAGAGGGTCAGATACATGTGAATTCACTTGGATACAATATATCTAGAACAAATTACACCTAATTTGATCTTATGTATATGAAGTTCAAAATTCTGATACATTTCGTAATAATGAAAAATGAAAAGAAGAGAGGTAATTAGATACTAAACTAGTGAGATTTACGTAAGTAACCTTTTTTTTTAATGAACTGATATTTAGATTAGTTCTTCTAAATGGATATCGTCCCACCAAAATTTTGGGCTAGGCCTGTAAAGATATACAGGCTGAAACATAGCTAGCAGCGTACAAGATGGGTGGCGTAGCCACTTTGGGAACGGTATTTAAAATTTAGCCACCATTTAAAATGTAATTCAAAATTAATCACTTATTAATGCGAACATTAAATTTAGATAAAATTATTCCTAGCTAAAACATGCAAAAATCTAATATAATGTATTGGAGTTTGAACTTTTATAAGTTAAACTCCAAAATAATGCATTACTAGAGTTCGAAAACTCCCTTCATGTGAAATTTTAGCACATTATAATAGAGTTACGAACTTTTACATGTGATACTCCATTATAGTATAATGAAATTTCGAATTCAAAGTAATATAATTATAGAATCACAAACTCTAATCTATACCTCTTTTCTTGAGTTCTTAGTTGTAAAACTAAGTCCAACAATTTTTTTATCAGTTTTCAGTTATAAAATTTTGAACTCGAGAAATTTTTTCTTGAGTTCTTAATTGTGGAACCACGAACTTCAAAACTCTTTTCTTTTAAGTTCTCAATTGAGTTTTTTTATAAAAAAAAACTAAACTTTTGCATACAATATATTCCTTAACTAGGTAAAATTACTAATAAAATCATATTCTCTTGTTTGTAACTGAAAAGTCATTTAACTATGCTTATATTATTCAAAAGATTACTCAATCAGATTTCTCAACTTTTTAGTGGCCAAATTTCTATTTTACCCTCTAAAAAATTATCAACCTTTGTCAATTTTTTATTTTTAAAATATTTTTTTTTTATATATCCTCATTTTAATTTTAAGCTTGGGTCAAGTAATATAAAAGGTAAAAATCTCTTCAATTATGTAGGTTTTGTAGTATTTTTTAATATACCAAAATTATAAATAAAAAAAAGGAGGGGACGGTTGTAGCGAACAAAATATTAGGGGACGACATTAAAAGGACTAAAATGTTTAAAGGTGGACAAACTAACTTGGAGAGTAATATTGTCGGTATCTAAATTTCGAAAAATACAGAATTAGCTATGAAATTTGTCGTTAAATGTATAGTTAATTCTTTGCTAAGACGCTTTTAGCTAATTAAATTTCCGTATAATCAATTGTTAATCTATAACTAAATAAGATTAGTACATTTTTTTATTATTATTTAGCTACAAAAATTTGTCAAAGTCACTAATTCCTCATTATTTTGTTTAATGAAACTGTTTATTAACAAATATCTGTGAGACAAGAAAAAGAAATCCCTCCACAAAAGAGAAAAAGAAAGCACTAGCATTAAAAATAATTATTCCATTTCAAAATATTTCATATTTTTTTAAAGTTAATTTGACTAATTTTTAAATTCATATTAAATTAGATTAATTTGATATTTCAAAATTAAAATTAGATATTTAAAAAATATACAAAAGTACTATAAATTATAATTTTTCTCATATAAATATGATGAAAATATACATCTTTAAATATTCATTAAAATTCATATCATTTGACTCTCAAAAAGAAAAATTATAGCATATATTTTGAAATAAAGGAAATAATTTTTACAAGTCATTTCAATATTCTTGCAAAAATTAATTCTGCAAGATTACTTTATTAACAGGAAATATCTTATCATAAAATCAAATCGAATATCTTCAAAATAAAAAAGTAGTACTTTTACGAAATTTATTACTGCAATTTAAACACCAATTTATCCCTTACAATTCGTTACATCCAATATTTTTTCCTAGTCACCCTTTAGTGGAGTTAGAATTTTCATTAATTAAGTTTTAAATTTTAAAAAAAACAGTAAACACACAAATTAAGTTAAAAGAAGTTCGACATGTATCATATTTATATAGAAAAAATAATTTTAATTTTGACTCTAAATTAGCTCCACCCCTGCCTCTATAGCAACACTCTTTGTTGCTCTTTTATATTTTTCACTTGCTCTTGCACCTCTTGTTTTCTTACTTGAGCGCACTTAGCTCTTTCGTGTCCACCTGTATTTATAGGTGGTGATAGAAATATTTGACTAAGGTACTATTTTAGAATCATATATCACCTATTCATAGAATTGGATTTTCTAAATAAATTTAGGTGTTTGGCCCTGATTCTTTTTTTACAAGTTTCAAGAGTTAATTTGAAAAACATGTTTGCTTATAAGTTTCGAAATTTAAAAAATATCAAAAAAATGTTTTCACTTTATATTACGCATAGAAATTCAAAAACAACTTTAATTTATATTTATAGTCAAACATAACTACCCGATTTTCAAATTTTATTCTTTACTTTAAAAATAAAATTACTTTTTTTTAAATAGTTACAATTTTCATAGTAATGCCCCCAAATTTCTAAAACCCTCATTGTAGAGTTTTTCTTTCAATTCTCTATCGTCTTGAGAATTCTAAGATTCTTTCTTGTACGCAAGTTGGCACAACAATTCTCTTGTCTCTATATCACATGCTCAGCACCATTGATCAATATGATAGAAACATCGTGAATATTAAGTTGATAGTGACTTTTCAACAATCTATTTGTTATCCTTCAACAAGTACAAAAGAAATTTAAACAAAATTACATATACTAATTGTCTTTGCAATAATTATTACTATTATATAAATGATTAATATTCTTAATCATGGAGTACAAGTAATTTTATCAATCATCTCTTGTTCTTGAGATTGATATTCTTTCTTCTTCTTGCTAGCTTTAATATCACCATATAGGTAAGAAATAAAACCCCATATAGAAAGTACAAGAGAAACACCTTTTTCTGGTGTAAATTTTTCTCCATAAAAAACAACACCTAATATTTCAGTAATAGGAAGTAAAACAGTAATTAAAATGCCAGACACCAATGATGATGAAGAATAGATAACTCCAATGGCACCTAAGAAAAAACATTGCCAAAGTATTGCTGACCATATTATAACAATATAATATCTAGCTTCTCCAAGTTCAAATGATTTTGCCTCCCTTGACATTGCCTGCATGTTTAAGCGTCATACGAAAGCTAATAAGTTATTTATGACAATATCATTACTAGTATCAGGTCATCTAAGAAATAACAATATATAATTGTCATAGGCATATTTAGAATGTGAGATTTATGAATTCTACAATAATAATTGAGTTGACAGTAATATATATATATATATATATATATATATTGAATTTGTTAATAGAAGTATAGTTTCTCGTGAACTTATATAGTATAATCTACATCTGCAACTTATAATTGTTCATAATAAGGGAAACTAGTAAGCTTAAAAATTAGATAAATAACAAGTTATACAAAATGCAAGTTTCAATGATTAAAGTCAGAATTTTCATCAAATGATATCAAAATATAAAAGAGGAAATACATAAAAATTAAGTCAAGAAAATTCAACATAATTTTTCATGAAAACAATATTTTTTTCCTTTTTATATTGGTTCAATAAAAAAAAGTGAGAATAATCACAGAACAATTTTTTAGTGGAATTTTCAATAGAAAATAGTGATTTTTTAACAGTGCACCCACTACCCCAACACAAAAGAGAGAGAGAAGGACATGGTGAAATAACAAATTTAAAAAAGAAATGGTTTTCATTTTGTGTTTGATATCCGCATTGAAATTCGATTAATTTGAATGCATGCAACACATGACCCTATTCATAGGGAAGGACTCTCTATTAAATATATTTCCAACTTCAGACTCGAACCTGAAACATCTAATTAAGAAAGAAATAATTTCATCCACTACATCATATATTTTGTTTTTATGGAGGATGAAATATAGTAATAATAAAGCTGTCATTAGATGGGACTCTATTTTGTTGAATTCAGAGCCTTAATTTTTAGTATTTGTTAGAAGTCAATTTATTCAAGATAAAGATGGACAGCAAAGTTTGATAGTGGAATTTTATTCAAGACTAGAGGACTTTGCTACTTCACCACTGACTTAGATATCATCAATTTTCTTGGTCTTATTCTTAACTTTATATTAAATGGACAAAATTGCATTGAAAATAGGTACTTGATATGATGATGTCTATGAATTAAATTTTCTTCTTTTAAGTGGGAACATATATGCATGTCAAGACACTAACTAAAAGTTAATATTACTGTCACATCAAAAATTATTTATATCGACCAAATTTTAGGTGAGATATAGTTTACAAAGTTATCTTGTGCTAATAAACAATACTAGTATATGAAATTATGTGTGTGCATGCATAACCAAAAGTATAATCGATTGAAATCGAAATTTTATGCAGTTAAAAATTCCATTCAATAGAAAGTTCTTTTTACCAAGTTAAGATCATTTTTATCTTTTCACTATTTTAAAAAATAACATTTTTATTTTTATTTATTATTTTTAATATATTAAAAAACTTTAATTATTTATGCTCTACATTATTTTTCAAGATCTAAGACTATATATCAGTTAATATGGATATTATGATAAAATACTCATATTGATCAATATTTTTTATGAGGGGTATGAAAAATTTAAAATGAACAAATAAAAGTGAACAACGGGACTACTTACTTACCTTCTCCCCATTTACAATATTGTACTCTCTCCGTTTATTATTAGAGGGACTATTTACTTATTTTCTCTCCATTTACAATTACGTTATTTTTTTTTATGAGAGACGTGAGAAGTCTAAACCGGATACTCTATCTTGTCTTTTTATTCCTCACTAAAGTCAAAATAATGTGATTCAAAATATCTGTTAGTTTAAAAAACTAGCTAGAAAGAACAATTTGTCTTTTTTATGACCCTAATTATTCAAACATGACATATAACTATAGTCTTAGTTACTAATTTAAGGAATCTAGGGGCCGGCAAGCGTAATTTAGTTAAATATTTCTTTCGATTAGTGCAATAAAATGTTTTTCTAAATTAATATTCCTTCCGTCTAACAATAGTTATATACTATTAGCTTGACACACGTCTTAAGAAACAATAAATAATAGGGGTAATATTATTATACTACCCTTTGAATAGCAAATGTAAAATAGACACAAAAAAGTAAATTATCTCCTGATTTTTCAAACTGAACAAATATAATTAAACAATTATTTTTAGTATAGTGAACAAATAAAAATAAACCGAGAAAGTACGTCAGAACTTTAATTAACGATAGATTAAAAAAAGGATAGGAGGAAAGTACATGGTTAGTGATCTATAATCAGTTTAATTATTATCCTGTCATAATTAGTAAACCAACTAATTATACTTCATCTTTAATTTACAATGATAATTTCAATGACTCAAAAGCAAAATCCTCAAAAAGAGAAAAACCTCACTCAACAAACTAAAATGATTGAAAAAAAGAGGATCTATTTTGACATAGCTAATAACATTGTACTTCATTTATTTTTTCTTGCCTAATACATTTAAATATGTTTTTACTTTTACTTATATGTCTCCACTTTTAACATATTAAGAGAAAGACAATCATTAACTACCTATGCCTCAAATCATGATTTTTTAAAATGTTAATAGTCAGGGGTATTATAGTAAAATATGTACTTTGTTTCTTATCTTCTTAAAGAAAGTGCAAAGTACATCGTGCACAACTAAAAAGTAATCGAGGGAACAATAAATAATTATGTTAAAAGGATTTTCATCTGTTCAAATTTTGATGGATGAAGCTATTTAATATCTATGTTGATAGAGGTTATTCGAACACTATGATTATCCGAAGGAAAAAATGATTGTGTTAAAGATGGAGGGAGAGACAAACCTGAAAGTCCTTGTTTATTATCATCCCAATTGTGCAAACCACTGTAGAAGAAAGGCAATAAACAGCCTGAATCTCCATAACAAGTGTGTAAGTGATACCTTGTTTTGCCTTTTTGTACATCAACTCAAACAAAGGCAAAATAAGTCCATACAAAGCTGCAGCTCCAAGTGTCATGATAAACCCTAGAACATACTCCTTCTTAGACTCCCCGTTCGGTCGGTCACCGTTCGCGTGGAGGGCCAATACCACCGCGCCAAGTGTCAGTAGAAAAATTGAGTTGATGGAGTAGGACGTGAACTTTTGCTTCACAAGGAGGAAAGCAAAGGCTGCAGTGAAAGCAAGTTGAGAAGCTATGAGAAGAGCTGACGTGGAGACAGGTAATTTAGCCACGCCATAAGCGTAGAGGTAATTATCGAATCCAGTCAGGACTCCGATCCCGATGCTCGCTACAAAGATCCTAGGAGTCATCAAAATGAGTTTTGTATTACTGTTATTGTTATCAATAGTTGATAACATTTTGCCTTGGAATTCACGACGACGGTTGAAGTAGGAGAAGGATAGAGGGATGAGAACAATTGGCCAACCAACTGTTTCTAACCAACTTGATAGCCAAATTCTTTCACCTCCTTTGAGAAAATAAAGACGGGTGATCAAAGGGCCACCACAATTTCCTATAGCTAGAATTATACAATTTATAACTAGAAGAAATTTCTTCTTTCTCGATGAACTTTCTTGAGTCGCCATTTAATTTTTATGGAGAACTAAATTGAAGATATTTCTTTCTTATGTTTGAGTAGTGATTTTTAGTATGTATGAACAAGTTAAATATATAGGTGTTTTGTGGGTCAAATTTGTCAAAAATATTAAGTATTCTTTTTTTGTGCCGATTTTAAGGATATTTTTTTTTACAATAGATTAAAACATATAAAAAAATTAATCAATACAAACAAAAAAAAATATACAAAGTTCAAAAGATGCTTAAATTCTACTCTATTTGTGAAACAACAATCTACACATAATTTTGAATGTCTTTAACTACATATACTTTTTTCGTCCTATTTTATACGAGCCGATTTAGAGCATGAGTGTAAAATTATTTAATTTCAATGTAAGTTTAGATATAAATTTCTTCAATCTTCAAATAAAATTTATATATTTAAAAATTATATAAAAAATATTATAAATCATAATTATTAGTAATTTGAAATATTAGTAAACAGTGAATAACAATGAATTTTGGATATCGAATGTCATAATATGAGGCTCTTAGCAATGCAAAATTATTTTTCTTTTTGGAGTTAATTTTTTTTTTAAAAAAAAACACAATTTCTTTTTCGTATTCCATCGCATAATTACAAAAACATCTTAACTGGGCCAGTCAGCTAGATAATGTAAATTTGTTTTTAACTTCAAAATATCAATAATGGTCAAAAAAAATAATCAATGAGATGAAAAGTGCCTTTAACAGATAGGCAAATGGGAAAGATTAGGCAGTTAAATATACAGAAAAGTATATATTATTTTGTATAAAAAATATTACGCATATATATATATATACACTCTTTTACTATTATTATTTTGATGGACAATTATACAATATATTTTTTCCATTAAAACTTGCATCAAATATTTAAAGAGATCAATTTGCCTCTTTTGACTTGATGTCGCCCTTGGATTCATAAGTCTCGATTTTACGCCCCCCCCCCCCCTCCCCCCCTCCCCCCTCCCCCCTCCCTAAAATAAAAAGAGGATATAAAAGCCTATTTAATTGTCAGTAGAAATAAGTTTTCGAAGTTGTTTCTCGCTTATCCCTATTTTCAAATGATGAAGAGATATGAAGTTAGGGATAAGAATTGATGATAAGGGGCGGGAGAGTCTCATCTCGTGTTCAACACTTGTTTGACTAGTTAATTAAAAAGGAAACACTTGCTTAATAAGTTGAATAGGTAGGATCAATTTCAAGATTTGTTTCGATGGTACCTGATGTAGAGTGAAGTTTACATATTTTACAAAAAAAAAAATAAAAAAAAAAAATTTTTGTTATTATTTAAACTCTGTATATTAACAATATATTTACGGAATCTATTGAGTGGAAGACCGTAAAGGCTATCGATACACCAAAAATTGTATTAAAATATTTATAAATATTTAATTGTAACTCAATTAATATTACTATATTAACATGTGATAATTCCAGAAATCTAGACTTCAAATTTTGAAGCCGTCAAACAATGAATAATTAATATTTTCATACTTTACGATGAAATAGATATATTTTATATATATGATCTGGTCATGACACTATTAATTTCACTTTCATCTTTGCCTATCTTTATTGACCAAATAGTCATATAAAACAAAAACAAAAACGGAACTATAGACTAATAGTCTTGAACTTGGAAAATGAAGTTATTATATAAAATGGACAGGGTGCAAAAAAAGTATATTGTATATCGAAATTATAAACTTTCCCTAAATAAATAAAAGAGAAATTGTCAAAATCAAATATTTAGATTATAGATAACAACTTTGTAAACTCCGATTATAATTACGATTCTCCCTTATAAAGAATAATGATTGATATCTATGCCTTAATATACGGTCACAACGTTTTGATATATAGCTATAAGATATATCTATTTTTTCTATGAGTCATGTGGATTCCTCATCGATCTCTATAATTTAAGTATAGCATTAAGAAAAAGGGACTATTGCAGACATAGCAACGAAGATTCGAGTTGATAGTTCTTACGCTATTCTTGTGTTATTTTCATAAAAGTATGGTATATATTTCGTAGTTGATGACATATTATGCGCGTTGAAATTATTTTTTCTATTTGATTATGACACATATGAGTGATAGATCGTGTGAGAGGTGGATAGCCATGAGACTAATGTTTCAAGGTTGGGGCAAGACATGTGAATCAGATATATCCCATATCTTGTAAAATAAGTCGATTTAGTAATAAAAGATAATTATAATTGTGAAAATTACTAGAATATTGTGTTTAAGACTTTAAATTATATTATATTAACATATTCATTTTTATTTACAACATTAAGTTTTTAATTATAAAGGTCAAATCACATCACACATTTATTTAAGAGTTAATATTACAACTTTTAGATCTACTTTTTTTAATTACTACTTATAACATTTTAATTACAAGTGTTAACAAATTAAATTTAATTTATATATTAATTATATTTTATTAATTAATTAATTATATATTATTAACTAATATATATTATATAATGTTACATAATTAATAGGTGAGATAAATAATATTAATGAGACATAATCTATTTGTAAATATCTATTACACCTTTTAAGAGATTTTTTAACTTATCACATGTCAACCCACACCCTCACCCTCATGTTACTCTCAAAATATATTTTCCATAAATATAGTAATTTATAATTGACAAAGATAAATCTTTCCCTTGATTTTCTCCTAATTAGTTGATTCTTATTTTGATTATTTTATTATTGCCAAGATAAATATTGATTACTATTCAAATACTTCTTATTTATTAATGCCTATTGGGGCCTTCATTTTTTTAAAAATAAATAAATTTATCACCGTATGTTTTAACATGTAATTTTCTCTCTCTCAATCTATCTTTTTTGCTTTTCTTGATGTTTTTTTATTTTATTTTAAATTTTGATATTATTTTTTATTTTTCTTAGTTTGATATTTTTAGAAATAAGAATTCTATAATTCAGGTAGCTTTTATAATAATTCTAAATTCCAAGTACAATCTAATGGGTTGAGTACTTGCTTTCATAGTTCAATTTTCATTAATAGTGTTTTCTCTTATTCCCTACCTCTTTCCGAATTTAATAAAATGAAAGATTAAAAAAAATATGTGTTGTCATACTTTAGTGCCTTGAACTATTTGTAATTGTCTCTTATATAAGTATTTTTTTGTATATGGTTAGGAGTTTTGTCTATCACAAATTAAATGTAAGGAGGCTAATTATAAATTAATATGGTTAAGTCCAATAGAAATTTTAAATTAATTTGCACAATTTTTTAATTAATAATCACGTAATTTAAATATGACAATAATTCATCACTTCATCCGTCTAAATACTTGACATTTTTCAATTTTCGAAAATCAATTTAATTAATTTTTAAAATTAAATAAATTAAATTAATTTAATATTTTAATATTAAATATAAATATTTTTAAAAATACAATAAACTGCAATTTTCCTCATATTACTTTAGTGAGACATAAAGGAAATGGGGTACGTTAAACAGCGAAAAGAAAACAGAATACCCACACTAATGGAGAAATAGTTGAAAAATATGAAAGAAAACAAATTCTATCTTAGAATGAATTTACTCTTTTCTGTCCATTTTTATTTGTTTATATTATACTAAAAATAAATGTTAATTTTAATTTGTTTAGTTTGAAAAATTAAAACATTAAATTTAATATATTTAAAAGATAATATAATAAAATTGTCATTAAATTTATTATTTTTTAAAAATTTATCAAGTCAATACAGAACAAATAAAAAATGAACGAAGAAAATATCAATTTATCCTAAAAAATGGTATTGGTCAAGAATATTATAGACAAACAATGGTGTATTGATTTACTGAATTGACCCAAATGCACAATGCTATTCATATAAACATCAACACATAGTACTGTTCATCCCACCCAAGCTCTCATTAGAAATTTCAGCCACAATAACTACTCTTGATTTAGTTATTTCCTTGTCCACTTCTCTTGACTTCTTAGGAAAGATAGATATCCACCATTAGTGTTGAACCTTTTTTAGGTATTCATTGATTATGCTCAATATACACTAGCACTATGCCTTAGTGGTGATTTGTAGGATTGCATATCGGTCGATTTAATTCGGTTTTGAAGTTTATTACTTCGACTTATTGGTTATCGATTCGTAAACATGTCAAATTATTATAGAACCATTAAGATATTGGTTTATCGATTATTGATAGTTATCGATTCGGTTATCAGCTAAAGCTACAGTTTAAGAAAATTGTAATTCGCGGCTACAGTTTCCCCAATTCTTGCTATTCACTTGATTTGTATAATTTACCTGATTTGTATAAATTCAAAATTTGTATAATTCGCTTGATTTGCACATGTGCGCCTATGACTTGTCGGATGTGCTAAATTGGTCGGTCTAGAGGTCTAGTTTTTGACGATGAACTTTGATTGACCTGAAATTTGGTTGGTTCGTCAACAACAACCTAGTGAGAAATACTCACCGCCTTGTTGTATTCAAGGCCTTTTTTTTGTCCATTCAGAGTCGTTTTGATGGGGTTTGGCCCTTTTTCTATTTTCTAAAAAGTTAAAAATTCGAAAAAATAAATAAATTAAACTAATAGTGTTAGGGATCACCCATAGTGCTTATCAATGACTTTTTACAGTTAACATATGAGTTTATATATTGACATTGGTCCTCTTTCCCATCGGATAAACTTGTATATTATGACATTGTTTTCAGTCTCTTCATTTGATGCTTTCCAACTAAGTTACATGTTGAATCAATGACAAAGAGACTATAGAGATTATATTTACCTAACCAAACTTAATAGATTACTCTCTAACTGAGTTAGACTTATCTTGTTTAAGTGATACTATTTATGAACATATATTTTCCTGAATATTTAAGTTTTCCTAATGAATCTAACCGTTCATTAGCATGGTTATATGTGCCTTGTGTTACTGTTTTAAATATCTCTCAGATTAACTATGTCTCACTTCAATCCCCCGACTCTTATCCTGAACCAAAAGAAACTAGAGGTCCTAACTATGTATACTGAAAATGAAATCCAGATATTGTCATAACTGCTGAAGGTTTCAAATTTGTGTTGGTTGGTGAATGCTTTGAAAAATCTGAGAATACAATTGATGATGAGATTAAGGCATTTTGAAAGTATATGGGTCTAGAGTTGGGACTATCAAGCTTAATATTTAACCCAAACATTTAAAATTTGAACGACGTCTGTCGTTCAAGATTTAACAATATGCCAATTAAGTACTCCGGCCTATAATTACAAAATCTGTCAAAATGTCTTGCACAGAGAATGGGAATTCACATTGTTATACAGAAAGCACAATAAATACCTGGACAGTCTCCAGATGACTTAACATATTGCTCCAGGCTTAATAGAGTTTTGAGCAAGTCGAAAACCAGAGGGTACTGGGGAAAAAATTCTGCTCATCCTGCTGCTAGGACCATTTAAGAGTCCGGTGAGACGCACATCAAATGATAACACTATCAAGTTGTTTATCAGGCTAATTTACAGGTTATCATACTGAGTTTCTGTGCTCGTCTTTTTGCAAATTGTGACCATTCACAACGTCCATGGAAATGCACATTCAAAGAAGATTATCACTTTGTTCGCAGACTAATCTACAAGTAATCAATCATTGGAAGCTTTTGTGTTCATCCTTCCGCTAACAGCAACCATTTGGGAGACAACCACCACTTTGTTCGGCAGACTATTCTACAGGTTGTCATTGGTGTGATTCAACCAAGAGGGTCAAATGTCAAAATTACAGAGCTAAGGTACAGCATTGACTGGACAGGGCAAACCAGTTCAAGAAGCAGCAGCTGGACCAACCAAGAAAAAGTAGGAACAAAACTGGAAACCCCGTTATAGGATGTTGGACAGTTTGTGAAACCTTTGTACAACAGCGTGAAGATCGTGCACTTCATACACCTCAATAAGTGACCTAACCGCTCTGAATATTACATCTTTCTTGTGGTTTACAGAAGAGTAATATTCGGCCTCAAACTGGTTAGGTGATTTCTCAAGAGACATGCAGACCAACTTAAACCACTCCTCGAAGAAGGATGATTTCTACAGGAATATAAACAGAGAATTAGACACAGCCTTAAAAGAGATGTTAAAGCAAATACAGATTTTAAGGACTAGAAACCTGGGAAGAGAACGTATACAGAAACCTCCACATTAGCAACTCATGTATTTTGGTATTACCTTGTTATTAAGATTCTTCATTTATTTTTCTCTTTGTGTTCTCAACCCCGCCCCTGCAATTACATCCTCCCTCCCCCACAATAATTTCGAAATCTACCGAAAAGATACTAAGAATGTAAGACATCTCTTGTATAGATACTACTGAGGTTGAGTGGAAGATTCCAATGTAAAATTTGGGTACTTAATTCTTTAGTAAACTTATTCATCTTTAACCAGAGGTCTTGGGTTCGAGCTCTGCGTAGGGAGCACTTTTCGCACTCGTGTTGACACGACACAAGTGTGGGTGTGGGAGTGAGATCCACACCGAAATTGGTCAACTTACCTTGGTACTTTGACTACATTCTGTGACCCAGATGTACAGACTTTTGGGCTCATTAAGTATGAAAATGCTTTTCTATTAAGCTAGATAAGAAAAGGCATTGGTGTTTACAAGAATGAAATTTTATTAGTTTTAGTTCAATAATTTAATTAATGGAAAATATATATTTTGTATGTCGTAGTATACATTTATTGGCAACCTAAATTTTATGTGATGAAGAGTCTGACCTCTATATCCACACCCGAGTCCGAGCAACATAGAAAGAAACTCAAAATGTGGCAGAAGTAGTTAGAAATTGGGGATACATGGGGATGGAGAAAGACAACGTAGTAATGGAGGAGCAATGGAGCATCATGGGGCAATTCCAAGTGAACACACAAAAGAGCGAACATGTTAGGAACTTTGGGAAAGCATAATTACAGCTCTTGATGTTGGTGCAGAGAATTTGACTTTTAAAATCTTTATACTGCTTTAAAATGTTGATGGCATGTACAAAGAAACAACAGATGCACAGAAAGAAGCAAAGTGGTACACTATCACCACATAAATCGTCTATCACAAAATCTATTTAAAATACAAAATCTTTCTTTTTAACAAAAAATTTATAAGGAGGTTTTAAAAAAGAAGAATTGAATATTCTCAAGCACTGAATTAATACTAAAAGCCTTACCTTCATTAGGAACTCATGGACATGGCGATCATCTGTTTTGGAAGTGAGGCCAAGCAAATGCAACATAGTTGAGGTCAGCTGCAGAAGAAAAATTCAGTAAAAAGCTGTTGGTGAAAAACAAATGAAGAGGGAGTGATCAAATTTGATCAAGAGGATCGAATTTGTCAAAACATTGAACTCATGCCATGGGATTGTTATCCACCGAATACAGAGTGAGATACTTTTACCAGCACCTATAATCAACAATTATGACATATATATCAAGTTTAAGTTTAAGAAGAAACTTATTCAGCCCATGGATTTTAATAAATAACCCTTTAACTGGCAGCTTCAACATATGCTTCAAACAGATTCCAAGTCAAGAAACTACACCCCCAGGCTACTACTCGACAATTTCATATAGCAATGTTGATAAAGGATATATATGAAAGTAGTCGAGACAAGAAAGGGTACACAACTTTTTCAGTTTTCAGTAAGAACACCTACAAAACTTGATCTGTTTTATATGAAAAGATAACAATTGTTCAGACATTTCAAAGCATACACAGATATTTGTTATCTCCTTATTGGCTATACTTCTATTTCTAGCATGTCAAAGTATAATGGTTTAAGAGCTCAACCTGTTTTTCAAGCGCCAACCTATATTTCAAATTTGATGGTGACGATATCTCATCAGAACTGAGACTCTCGACAACATGCTGCACACCTTGAAGGACACTAAAGAATGATCTGCCATAATCTGCACCGGACGGGCCCAGCACCATGAAGTCAAAAAGAGAATAAGCTTGAAGAAATACAAACAAACATGACCTACAATTAACTTCAACAGAAAGGAGCCTCTCATTTGCACAAATAACTGCATAAAGTATGTTATATTACCACAAACTTCTATTTTAATAATTTATTGCATTACCCTTAGCATGACTTGTCCTATAAGAAGTTTATTTTGGCTCTGCCCTATAACAAAGGTTGATCCTACTTGTTAAGTAGCTTTTTTCAGTACCAGTAAGCAACTACTACTACAATGCCTCAATCCCAAAGACCCAAACTAGTTGAGACGAATGCAAACATGTTCTAAAGGAACAGGAAAATAAACCTCTCTGTAAGCCAACTGTGAGATGAGATATGAAAAGAAAAGGTTAAAAACAATTCACCATTTAAGGTTGCTGGAACAGCCAAAGCTGCAGCTGCTTGTATCCTAATCTTAAAATTGGAGGAATCACGGAGGAGCAGCAAAAGAATGCTAAAAACTGATGACGCCCTGCAATATTAACTTGATAGTCAATATGTACAAACATATAGAAATAGATTGAGGCATATATGATTAAATAGGGAATACCAGAAAATAGAATTTCAAACCCATCAAAATCAATACAAAATGAAGTAGAAAAGAAGAATTATGCAACACTCAAGAAACTGAATTCAGTTGGTGGAATGTGAAAAAAAAAAAGAATTACGCATCAGCATCACGGAACAATCCAGCTATTCTCATTTACATAATGCATCCTAAGACTGTCAATAACTGAAAGTAAGGGTGTCAAATGGGCGGGTTGGGTTGAAATTGGAGATATTAAAATGGGTTGAAATTGAAATCGGGTTGGGTCATGCCCCGCCCAAGTTTACTTTGGGCTTAAATGGGCTAAAAATTGGGTTGGGTCATGACCCGCCCAATTCGACCCGCTTAAACTCAATAATTTTAACATATTGTTGTTTAACTTATAACCACAATTTGAATTTCAACTCAAGAAAATTAAAAAAATAAATGTTACAAATTGATAGATAAATCCTAAAAGATATAAAATAGATAGTAATTCATACCTTCAATATAGGAACATACATTACACCAATGCAAATAAAAAGTCTTAAAGCGGGTTGAACTTGAAGATTAAATTGGGCTCAATTGAGGATTCTCTTAAAATGGGTTAAGGCTTGAATGAGTTGAGATTGAACCCAATTCAAATTATCTTGAGCCCAACCCTTAAAATTTTAGGTGGGTTACCTATATTTGGGCTCATTTTTGACACCCCTGACAGAAAGTGTCACTAGCCTTCCGAATGCCTTCCTATTTTCTTTTTAAAACTGTATGCATATGTTAGTAAGATGACAGCTCCTATAACCTATCTGCTTCAGACCATCACATCTTAAAATAAGTTTTTAAGTTACTATCAATTAGCACAGAGAAGGCAACAAAGATAACACCAAGGCAGGTAATGTAGTTCTATTTAGGGGTGTTAAATGGATGGGTTGGGATGAAATTAGGAGGGCTAAAACGGATTAAAACTGGGTTGGGTCATGACCCACCCAATTGAACAATAATCAAGATTCATAAAGCAATCAATATAGAGTATTTTTTGCATAGTCAATTTCATTATATCATCTTATTTCACTTTACACTATGTATTTGATCAACTATTTGACCTATTTTTAAGAAAATATCAAATCAACTAAAAGATTCTATTATGATAAAAAATATTGAGTACTGTAGTATTAATAAGAAATTAAAAATTATCATATATCCATGACGGAGCTATGTATCGCAAGGGGGTTCATCTAAAGCCTCTTCTTCGAAAAATTACATTGTCAAATTAAATTTTACGTCTATATAGTCGGTATCAAATCCTTTTGGCTTTTTTGTATGTTCACTTTGTTTATATTTCGAAGAAGGGGTTTATCCGAAACCCCTTCCTCAAAAAATTACATTGTCAGATTCTTTTTTACGTCAAAATTGTGTATATAGTAGGTATCAAATCCTTTTGGGCTTCTTCATATGTTAAACTCTTTATATTTTGAATCCCCTTAGTGAAAATCGTGGATCCGCCTATGCATATATCTTCTGATTTTACATTGTCAAAATTCTTATTAAAAGGTTTCCCATTTTAATTGGTTTGTGATCTTCAAGTTCTTGATTGTTCATTTGGTTCCTTGGATAAACAAGGGTGTATATTTTCTGCTTCAATAAAAATCTCAGATTTTTCAAAGGGTTATGAGAATTTCGTGGGTTAAGATTTGTATTAATTTCTTGTTAATTCTAAATGTGAATTGGATATCAATCTCTTTGTGAGAAATATAGGAAAAGAATATTATTGAATTGTTGTTGTGTCTACATTATTACATTGAAACCCTATTTATAGACCCTAGAATACAATCCTTTACCAAGTAGGATACTATTTAGTATTCCTATTCCTATTCTAATAGAATTGTATAAACCTATTCCTATTCTTATAGGATTGTATAAATTTATTCCTATTCTAATAGGATTGTATAAACCTATTCATATTCTAACACTCTTAATTCTTGTTAAGAAAATATTTATTTGCATAGAAATGACATCAAAGTTGTATAAATAGAGTGACTTTTTTTTTCAGCTCATAGCACAAGGATTGCCTAGTGTGGTTTACCTCTCCTGTGTAGTTTGCGAGCTATTGCACTGGAGCAGGGTTTACCCTATACCCAAAGTGTAGTGGTTGCTGGTTCCATTGTCATAAAAAAATAGAGTAATTTTTTATAGTAAAAAATGTTAAATAATAGTCAAAAAACTGTTTAGGCAGAGGGAGTACTTACGTTTCTTTTTTTTTTTTTGCCTGTAAGTATGGCTCAAGTACAAAGAATATTTAGAGTGCAACAAAAATTAGGAAGTGTGTTATGCTGCAAATGTGGATTATGTAGGTTACAAAGCAAGTTGAATTACACATAAAAACTGGGCAAAGTTGGAGGTTGTTTTAAAATGGGTTCTAATTAAACAGGTTAAAATTTAGCCCATTATTATATAATCATGGGGATTGCTGTAAATCAGGACACACCTATTATCAGCTGGACTACTAGGGGAGCACACTAGGTCAATATATAGGTTAATACAGGTTTTACACTGGATATTCATTTTGCTCCCAAAAACATTTACTGTTCATTTAATGTATTCATGTTTTAGGGAGTTGAGGGTATCACCTCTCTCATTAGAGCAGTCTTTTCTGATCCTCAGACGTGCCCCTGCACCTGCATCCTCTTATTACTTTTCTTAGATACTTTTTAAATGGTACTTCAATTTGTTAATGTCCACTTATGTGATCAAACCCATATAAACAACCACGTTCTCTTATGCAACTTGTATATATTATTTTCATTTATACCATCATCAACTTATACCACTGAAAACCCTATCGGAGCCCTTGGATGAGATTCATTAAGCAAACCAAGAGATGAGATGATCAACTTGGTCCTCATCTTCATCCTCTTTGGCTCCTCAAGTTGGATATACCCAGGTAACTCCCAGAATTTGAAACAATTTACCTAGCAATGCTTCTGTTAAGTTGACATGGATCCATGAGGATGAGGATGTCAAATACTGAATCATGTAACAAAGCCATCCAACATCTCCAGGCACAAATACATGGGAATCCAACATCAATAGAAAACAAAGACATGCTAAATAGAGGATTGGAACAAGGTTAGTAAGTACTTACCAGATCATGTTTTCCAGCTTCAACGTTGGATTGGAAAATAAGTTGCTTAGTGAATAGCAAACATTCCACTGTACCTGATAGCAAGGCCGACCTTTTAAGTATGCAGTTAAGGTGTGCTTTTGATCGACACGTGTAAAATTTAAGGTTTGATATCTACTGTTCCTTTTTTCCCTGATCATAGTATTATGAGGAAGAAAATACCTTAACGTTTCCAGTTGTAACACAAGAAATAAATGCTTGCACCATCTTCTCAAGCCATTTAGAACTTTCCAAGTAAGCGTTACATGAACTTCGACTTTCTCCCAGATTCTCACTAATGGACAAACCTTTTGTGGGCTTTCCCCCAGAAGATACAACCATTGAATCTGCTTGCCTGTCATAAGTAAATGATTGACTTGAAAATCTAACAACTCTTGAAAGGTTACCCAATGCTCTCACAGCATTTGCTTTGACCTGATATCAATAACACGGGAAGTAAATTATAGAATACAATTGCTAACACGACAGGAAAATGTCAAAAAAAGAACTGAAAGTAGCCAATATAGCTAACAGCATAGCTTACCTTGTCATTATCGTTCGTAAGTTGTAAAGCACAGTCAATCAGCAAGGAAATCGACTGTGAGCTCACTGTTGAATCATTCATATAGAAGAACAATAAGACATCTGAAAGTATTGTTACACAACAAACAGATCTAAAATCATTCAGAAATTCACAGGACCTGAAGAGAATTTCTCAAATCCATGTACATCAACATGGTGGCGAAGTGCATCACATATATTGGCTAAAGCCCACGAGGCTGTTATGCGAACCTGAAAGTTATCACATTAAGCTTCCATGTACCTCTTTGCTAGGCTAATAAGTTGGGAAAGATATGCGAAAACAGGAGTATCGAAACCAACCGACACTGAGGAATCATGACTGTTATCCACAGCAGGAGAAATGAACTTGTCGAAAATCTCTGCACTGCCATATTGGAACATATATTTACCAACTAACAACGAGACAAATATAATTAGGTAAATTAAAAATACTCTCTAACAGTTTAAGCTTTTAAGTTTTTAGATGAGGTTCTCACACAATTCAACATGGTATCCGCTTAAGAAAAAAATATTTTCACGTGTTTGCCCATGAAAAAGAATCAGGCTCACATAAGGGAGCATGTTGAGATAAATTATGATAAGTAAACTAAAAGTGTGTTCTCTCTAACATTTCAAGCTTAAGCTTTTAAATGAATTAATCACAGAGTTCAACAGAGTCCAAACAATGCCTCCAAAGAGAAATTAAGGCTAAATGAATTTAAATTACCTTTGGAAAATGTGTGGAAAACAAGCAATTACACCAATAGCACGACAAGCAGCTGATCTAACATTCGGAACCTCATCACTTTTTGCAGTTTTAACCTGAGAAGCTTTCACAAGTACAACTTAAATCACTGTTATCATTCTCTATACTTGAGAGAAGGATAAAGCACCAATGCACTAATCAGTTATGTAGCAAAAACTTACACAAGAGCTCATGATAAAGTCTTGTTTATCCTTTGGTAGAGAAAAGAAAACTGTGGAAGTAATTCCAGCAAAACAAGTAACTGATGCAGCCCTCACCTAAAGGAGCAAAACAAAGTAATGGAATAAATGAGTCACAGCAGCAGCAGCAGCCTGGCAATTTCTATGAGAGAAACCAAAGCAAGATCTTTCTCATGAAGTGATATTGATGATAAGCATGCATGCTCTAAAATATTCTGGGAGAATAAACATTGCTGAATTATGTGATCTCACTAAAGCTTATATTGTTAGAGAGGGAACACCATTATGTATTCAATTATATCCCAAACACGCCGTCATGTATGAGCGGAATCTTTTACATGGCCAAGCATGTGACAGTATTTTGTTGATTATTGGCTCCGAGAAACTAAGCTAGAATTCCTGCTTGCTCTGTCAACAAAATAAAGCTTGTGAAGCGCCTCAAGTAAAACCTTAAGGGGTTGTTTGATGTAAAGGATAAGAGAAAATAGTCATGGGATAACTTTTTAGTGCCTCTTTATTTCTTGTTTGGTTACAAAGTATGGGATAACTATACCAGGATAAGTTATCCCTTCCTCTTTGGTGGAATAACAATACCAAGATTACTAATCCTAGGATAAAACAATTAAAATGACAAAAATATCCTTGAAATCTATTTTATTATCACTTTTCATATCTTTATTCCACATTTGTAAAGTTGCTGAAATTTTTTTGCTGCTCATGAGATGTTGTTTTGACAAATTTCAAATAAATCTATAATTTTAGTTTAATAAAATTATTCAACTGTTTGAGTCCTTTTTGACAATCAAAAGAATTTCTAGAACATTGTTTCTTTTGCAATGGGTTAAAAAGTTATTTTTGCAACGAGAAATGGTATCAAATTTCAATTCAATTATGATTATTGTTATTGTGCAGTTTTTGCTCCATTTTTGATTCATTTATATTTGTCTAATTTTTTGCTTATGACAGTAAAGAATAGATGCTTCCCACTAGCCTCAATAGCTTGCTCCAGTTTTGATTCTTGTGGATCGTAAACTTATCAATAATTGAGATTCATTTGATTTTATTTTTAAGAGTGAGTAACTAAAAGTTTTATAAAAAACTACATATAAAAAGCTAAATAAAATAGAGGGAATTATCGTAAACAAATAACTAATTCTTGGAAAGTATCCAATGCTTATTAGTTATAATACAACAAACCAAACAAGCAATAAAAACTAATCCAACATAATTTATCCCAACATAACTAATCCCAACATAACTTATCCCACCATAACTTATCCCAGCATAACTTGTTTTCGAACCAAACGACCCCCAAGTGTTTAAGAGAGTAGACACCTAAACGTTTACTTATTATAGATTTGCAGTATGCATCCTCATATGCATGCTGATATATTTCTTGAGCCAAGTACTTGAAATATTTCGTATATGTATTACATTGATGCTAAAAATCGAGACCACTTTCTAATCTAATACTAATTTTTCTGTGTGGACTGTTTCATCTAAAGTTTAAACTGTAAAAGGGGCCATCTTTATTTATTCCACTATGTCTTAACATGCCCTCTCACAGGTGTGCATTCAAAGCATTTAAAGAACTGGATATTACATCTTATTCATTTCATGTTGGCATACCATTTCTTTCTAAAGGATAACCTTTTCTGTAATGAATATTTTTCCACATATCATTCCCCTTTTAGGGTATTTTCTGGATCTACCCATAGATTATCTGAATACTTGAAAGGGAAAATTATAAGAAATGGTCATTCAGCTATCTCCGTTACCAAAATTTTGGCCAAATTTTCAAAAATTACTAAAATTGGCCAAAACTTCTTCTTCTTCCTTCCCAGTTCGCCATTAATAGCTTCTAATCTCCTTCTTCTTCCTTCCCATATCGCTATTAATGGCTTCTTTTCCTTCTTGATTCCTCCTCCTCCTCCTTCTTTTTCGTCTTTTTTTTTTCTACATCTTCTTCTTCGTTGTTTTTTCTTTTTCAAAATTTGAATTTTGACGTACCACAAACGTGAACCGTTTCGAGCAAGTTATATATCAAAAGACTAGAAACATCAAGATTGAATAGTCAATGTATGGTTCATGTATAGTTAAGCTATATTTAGTTTTTTGTGTGTATCATAATGTATAGTCAGTGTATAACTCATGTATAGGTACCCTATATTGTATGGTTAGTGTATACTTTCTATGACTTTTGGCTAGCTATAATGTATAGTTAGTGTATACTTCCAATGACTTTTGGACTATTTTTGATGTAAATAAAGCATGGTTATATTTGTTGTAAACTAATTACTTTATTGTAGATATTTGATATTATCCCAAAAAATCTGGTTCAAACTTCTCATCTGACCTGATCATGCCTAAAGAGGCTCTTGTTCTTAGCATATCACCAGCAGTAGGACTTCCTGGATTGATAAATATGGGTTTGATAACTCTAGGTTATTCTATAAGCACTTGAGTAGGCAGTACACGTACTTCAGAGGCTATTTTTGCAGAAATCACAATTTAAATAAACCTTTTAAATGTGCAATTTATTTTCTTCTTTTCTCTACTTCACTAACTTCTTATTATATGGTACAATTAATAAAATCTATAGAAAATAATAAAGGTATCTACAAACTAACCATTGGAGAAGAATGCTGAAGTATAAGAGGCAAATGCCGAACTATTGCTTCCAACCACTGCTCACTTCCTGACAGCTTTTCAGCTCCATCACTATTTGCTACACAATCATGTGGCCCATAAGATGGAGCCGATGAGATTGTTTTTGATTTGACATAGTCAGATGTAAAGGGGCTATCAAGTGACATATCACTCGAAAGATCTTCAGTTCCCTTAAATCCAGAGATCGCACGAAGACATTCATCCAACACCTGCAAAACATTCATGTCACAGTTAACATCCAAAGAACATATGACAAATACCAAATTAAGAAACCGACCCCTTCTAAACGATCACAAAATCTTTCTTGTTTTTTGGTAGAACTTGTAGCTGCTAACGCTAAACAAAATACAACAAAAAGACAAGTTGCAACTAACAAATCTATGAAACAATGATCAAAATTACACAAGCACTTAGATTCTAATTGACTGCATGCCATTTTATCCATTCAAATGCTAATGGTTTCACAAAACTTCATGCAAATTGATTCCTTCTCTGACTATCCTACCTACCCAGCTATGCTTTTTCACCTTTTGCCTTCACTCCTGAAAACGTATAGTAGTACATAATTTGCTGGCAAGCAGAATGGGAAGAGAATGATCATCATATTCTTGTAACAGAATCGGAAAAGCAGGAGGAAGAAGCATATGTCAGACTATGTTGAAACCTAAATTTGACAAACAGCAACCAAAGGAAAATATTATAAAGGAGTAGACCATGAAATTTCCCAAAAGAAAGCCAAGAGCATGTGCGACCTGGAATTTAAGATATGGCTATATGCAACTAACAAACATCATGTTAACAAGAAAAGACAATTGGACCCTAGCAAATAGGATTGCTGGAGCATAAGCAGTTTTTTTCCATTGATCATCCTAACTGTCAAGGGAAAGGTATAAGAGCACCTGAATTGGGAAGGGCCAAACAAGAGATCTTCACAGTAGATCTCTATCAAGCTTCACCAAAAGAACTACCAGGACTGTTTTCTAGGTCTAAGTTTGAAGTGTAGAAAACCCCTATCAAACGAAGCTTTTTGTATCGAATGCATGGTGGGCCATATTAACAAAACGGTAACTTACACGGGTTTTGGTGCTTCATGTTCAAAGAAGGTGAATATGTCATCACCTTCTATTACATTGCAGACCCCATCAACCATGTGTGACTTAACATTGATAAAGTTAGCAACTTCTTGTATTGCTGGAAAGTTTGAAGAGTTTGGAGAGAACAGAAACAAGAACAATTGGTATTACCGGAAGTAATTTGAAATTTTGGAGAGCAGACAATGGATAATAAGAGCACTTGAAGGATTTGACATTCTTTTCTTCGAGATTCAGAGGTTGCTTCTTTCCCCTACATAAATTTTTGGAACACCCATTATATCCCTATTTGCATAGATAATTGGTTGAACTCTCAGCTCTTAACTACTTATTACAAAAATGCTCAGATAGGACATTCTTTGCCGTCTTGCTTAGGCATATACTCCTTGAATCTAGGATTCATCCTTTTCTTTTGTCACAACAAAACACCTTACTAATCATCAAAGAGAAGTAAAAAAAAACCTAGAATAAAGCAATCAAGTATATTAAAAAGCCACCAACGGCTTATCAAGCAATTATACTTCCTATTTTTCCCTAAACTGTACAAATACAAATATTGCTTTTAAAAATAAAAAATCAAAAGTGCATATTACCTAATGATTGCATTGCGCAATGAAGTGATAACCCATAAAGAAGACGTGTCATTTGTGACTCTAGCCCAAAGGTTATTGAATCACATTAAATTTCAAGAAAGCAAAGGATTGGGATAAGTTACCTAAATTCCTGTGGTCTTTTGAGATTTCATTTACATCCTATTGCAGAAAACAATTGCTTCAAAAGGATTTAATTGCCAATTGACAGCAGGATGCCACTTAACATCCCCCACCATTTCTCACCCCACCCCACCCTCACCCAAAAAAAAAAAAAACAAGAAGAGAAAAAGAACTTCACATTCAAAGAAAATAAACCCCGCCAGTGCTTTCAGACCCCTACTGTAACGCACGCAAGATGGAAGAAGCACAAAACAAGGGGAAAGAAAACAAAAACATAAGCAGGCATCTCACCTTGATTGAAGCGGTTATGACTTTGTCTCCAATTGGCTCATTTGAGTTTCCAACATTATCCCTCCAAGACCTTGTCTCAGAAGAGGAGGTCAAGACTCCATGAACTAAAAGGGAAATCTTTTCCCAACACAGGATCATCACACTAGGATAGTTGTGTGCCACAGCTCTGACGGCCTAGGAGAAGTACGAAATAGAAACATGTCAATGCAATCAACTAAAGTTTTCGATGGTGTTCAAATTTTGACAAAATCCTCAGTAAAGAACGCTGCTTTCATTTCAATGCCAGAAGAACAAAAGGTAACCAAAACAAAGCCACCAAACAGGCTAGTTGCAACCATCAAATAACAAATGAATACACTTATATATGTCAAAGACAGAAACAGGGAAGAGGATTATCTTTCATAAAAGGTATTTTGCTTTAGTATTGTTCTTTTATTTCCTTTTTACAAGGCATATATTATTTAAGAATGGCATCTTTGCTAACTGCTAGTCCTCACTTGTTCAGCATCTTCAAAACAGTGGTTCCCTGAGCTACTCCTAGATCAATTGGTTTTCATTTTATTTTTTTGGAAACTGGTAACTTTGGATTGATTTTCATGTTCTCACTGAGCATCAAGTAAGGTGAAACTGAAAGATACTGTGGAAGAATCCTGATTGGTTAGGTTGTAATTGCATAGAGAAGATAGAAAAAATATTTCATAAAAAAGACCAATAGATAACCAAAAGGCAACATTCACTGATTGGACCCGCAAGAGCTCTCAAACTGGATGCCAAAGCATTAGCCTGCAAGTCATTACAAAGGACACACAGAGTCTGGCGCAATTGACAAAAGTTTGTACAGAGTACACATGTTTTATGCATGAGGCGAATGTAAGCAGCTGTAACAGTAGCCTATCAAAAAGTAGGTGTAACAGAAACATGTTCTGTTAATGCGATTGGACGGTAAAAAGAGTAGCCAATAATGGAAGGTCCAAAAGCAAAGTTAAAATAATTTTAGCTTCTAAATTTCTTTTACAAAAGTGTGCCAAAAGAAAACTGAGCTTGCATGAAAGAAGCATGACATGCCTTGGGGGATACCTTTCGAACTAACAAAATGGCTTCCATGGGAATGGGATAGCTCATTCAAGTATCAAGAAAACAGTGCCAACCAAAACAAAAAAATAATATAACATCTTTAGAGGATCTTATTTTTTTTATAATTATCTTTTAGGATATCTTTTCTCTGTTCTGGGTTGTATTTATTAAGTAAAAATATAGACGGGACAATAAATTAACAAAAAGAGGGAAAAAGAAAGGGCACAGAATTTGTAGAATTTCATATAGGACAAGATAACCTAAATCATCTGTGAACCATTCTCGACATTGACACACTTATGTTTAAGCTCAACCATGAAAAACTTATTTCCTTTCTTTTCCTGCTTCTCCATCTTTTTCAAAGACTATTGGATTCATTATAGCTTGACTGATCAATTACCTGAAGTGCCTCAAAGCCTACTGATGGGCTTACTCCTGGTTCACAATACCGAAACAACGTAGACAAAATGCCCGACTTTGATTTAGTACTGATGAAACCTGAATGGACAAATACAGAAGTATACTATCAATTGTTGAACTGATAACCAGCCATTTCACTGAAATTTAAAAAGAACAGGATTTCCTGAGCAATATTCTATGTCAGCATACACATTTTAGCCAAGTACAGGTTTTTCCAACGAATAAGTTAAGTAACCACTTGCACTATCTAACTTAAAACAGAATCTCCAATACTTTAACAAATTAGATAGCCTACAATGTAAGGCTCTTGATCAGTTAATAGGCTGTAATAAAACAACTACAGTAGGTACCACCTGAACTCATTCAGATTGTTTTGCTGATTATTCAACCAAGGGAACAATCAGATTACCTGCTGATACTTCTGCCATAAGCATATCTTTGACTTCAATTGAAAGCGGTGAGACTGACAAGGCTGCACTTAAGCAGTTGATTGTGGTTGCCTGCAGACAAAACCAAGCATTTGAATAAAGCAGCTACATACACATAGTTGTTTTTTTATTTTTTTATTTTATAAAACACATAGTTGTTTATTATTCTGTAATATATTGGTACCAAGTTACTCGAGAGTCTAGACTATGAAACAACAAGAGGCTCAAATAACTCCATGAAGCTGTCTGTCTCAACCTTAAACTGGATTCAGATAATGCATTTAAAGAGCACCAAAGGGTTAATATCAACATAATATGTCCAACTGAGCTTTTACTAAGCATACCGCGACAAATTTGAGAAAAGGAAGAATCTAGGGATGTATCCATATGAAAAGTAAAGCACACAAAGCCTAGAAAAAGTTTACTACCACTATAATGAAATTTCCTTTCAAAGTGCTTCACCATTTTCTTCAATTGGGTTAACGGGGGAACTTAATTATCCAAGGAGGGGGGCTATAAATACCTAGGTTCTCAAACTCTGTTAGTCTTTGAAGTAAGTCTGAGAAGGTAACAGTAGAACTTAGATAAGATACACTATATGTTCATGGGTAAAATGTGCATGAGTGAATGCAAGCTAATAGTATTACACAATCTACAAGAGTGTAAACCAATAAGTGCAATGGACAACTAAGGGGCCAAGGCTCAAATATTAATTTTCAAGTGCCAATAAATCATGAAGGTTACAATAACCCGTACACAACCATAGGATTGAGGATATTGCAAATCAGAAGAATCCAGTTGAGTAATTCTATCTGAAGGTGAATTTGAATAACAAAATCAGAAAGGTACATTTTGAAATCACTTGTGTGCGTTAATGGGCATCAAACAAAGTTAAACAACCAGGACTTTAAAAGATTATAAAATTACACATGACAATCGGGAACACAATTTAAAAAAATAAAAAAAGTAAATAAATAGTAATAAAGAAGAACCCATAAAAAATTAAAGGGAAAAAAAGGAAAAGAAGCACATAAATACAACCTTGCAACAGAACTATACGATGCAACATGTTGAGATGACTAAAATAAATCGCTCAAGCTCCAAATATTGAACCAAACAATTCCTAATTGTTCCTTGGATATCATACTAGGGAAAGCCTAGCTGAATCTAATTTTTTCCTCATCAGTGCCTGTAAGTTGACACCCCGTAAATGATTTTAAGAATTCCTATAAGCAGGTCCAAAAAAATCTACAGCTCACAACTCATTAAGACTAACCAATAGGATGTTCTGGTCACTTCTGGACAAAAAGCCTTCTTCAATCCTAACTTGAATAGAAGAGAGAACTGTTGGCAACAATTCACGAGGCATTCTAGAATACCTGCAAAAGGATCACAGAGATAAATTCAAGTTTACACATATTAGAATTTCCTTGATTGTTAAGACACATACAGATTCATGACGATCTCTTCATAGAGAATATGTTTTATATCAATCCAAAAGATAAAAAGGAAAAGAAAAAAAGAGAAGCTAACCACTTGAATTTCCTACACTTCAAATGTTCACAATCGCACATTGAATAAAGAATAGTACCATAAATGTAGTCCTGAACCACTTTTAAACTCCATAAATTTTTACCCAACTCTGTCTGCTAGATTTCGCAAGAACTATAAAGAAAGAAATTACCAGAAACTCACATTTAGAGGTCCAATTTTTGTAGTTTCTACTATTTTTAATTTTACTTCTGGAAGGTGCAACTTTTTGAGGTGTAATTTTTGAGATTTGTTTTAATATCTTTTTACTGTCTAGTGTAATTGTGTTGCATATTTTAGGATTGATGGGATTTTCTAGTTTATAGTTAAATTAGATCTTTTTTTCCATTGTTCTTGTCAAATCTAACAGAAAGTTTGGTGTAAATATTTTACATAGCCTAAAAATGTTAACTTTTGACAAATTTAAAGGACCAATACTGTTAAGTGCATACTTAAGAGACTATTTTGAACCTACCCTCAAACACAAGGGACCATTATTTTCATTTTCTCAATAAAATATTGTTGCATATAGTACTTATAAAAAACTACCAATCTCCTTATATGAAATTTGCTATCTCAAATCACCCTTTAGCTAAAAACATAAATACCATAGATGGACCCCATGCATATACATAGGAAACCACTCCCTCTCGGTTGAGGAGTGGCGGTTTGATACTCCAATTTTGGTGAGGGAAAACAAGATACTTTCACCAACTTTTCCCTTCTCCAACTTTTCTTCGTCCGTCTCTTTTCTAATTCTTCCATCACCCATCTGGTAAGCCTAGTGCACTTTCTCGAACCCCCAACCCCTCCTCATAAGAAACACCGCCTTCTCCCCAACTCTATTGTCATCCCTAACTCCACCCTCCTACTAGCTTCTTCTATTTCTTATATCCCTACTTGTGCCCACGCATACACCCTCTATCTCCAACCCCCAACCCCTCCTCACAAGAAACACCGCCTTCTCCCCAACTCTATTGCCATCCCCAACTCCACCCTCCTACTAGCTTCTTCTATTTCTTATATCCCTACTGGTGCCCACACATACACCCTCCAATTTTGTCTCAGCACCAAATCTTCTTATGCACTCCTCTCTCAAACCTCCAGCAAAAGAAATACACATTGTTAATGCATATGTTTTTTACTCTATAAATCTGTAGCTTCTTCCCATCAAAGCATGCCTTGTTTCTTTCTAGCCATAAGGTCCACATTGTGCAATTGGGAATTGTTCTCCATATTGGCTTTAAGCTCTTTTTAACTTTCTGTGATTGCCACACTTCCAAAGGGATACAATTTTCTCTGGTAACTCCAAGGATATACCCATTACGCTAAAGTAAATTCCCAACATTGTCTTGAGTATCTGCAGTGCAAGAAAAGATGTTCAACTATTTCTTGCAGAAATAGCATCTACTACACAAGGAAAAACATCTCCTCTGTAACTTGTGCTGTGTTTGGCAAGCATCCCTAGCTGCTAACCAACCAAAAAAAGTTGCTTTCATAGGTGCTTTGGCTTTCTTTTTTTGATGAAGTAAGAAGAATGTCATTAACAAAGCATCAAGCAGATGCACATATTACAAAAGAAAGAAATATCAGCTCCCAAAAAGGCAAAAAAAGCTATCTAAACAGCTAACAGCAGAGATCTATGGAGCTGATAAATTCTAGGAAAGAATCGACACCAAGTACAGGAGAGAGATTAACCCAACCAAAAAGAGTAATCAAACATCTTGCTTTAAAGGTAGAGATGGGAGTTGGGGTGCCATCAAAACATCTTTTGTTCCTCTCCGTCCATAAGCACCACTAAATCATCTTCCAGAGTCAGTTAGGATAGAATTCTCCGGATCCATCAGCTTACACTTTTTGTAGCTATCCCTCTTCTTCTTTCTCTACAATATGCAAGTTCTTAGCTTTTGATTATTCTCCAAAAAGAGAAAAATATTTCTTAACTACTATTGGTCCTTTTCACAAATCACTTCATCCAGATACTGCTCCAAAAGAGCTAATTGTTTCATCCAGATTGGGAACTATCAAACTTTGAGGCATGGAGTAGGTTGATTTTGACGTTTGGACTCCTTCACCTCCTGCTCATAGAAGTGATAAACCAAAAGTTGCTTCTAATTTATTTCACAGATCATTTGCTTGAATGACATGGTCACCTCTCCCCCATCACCTTTCTTTCTCTCCGAAAAAATTCTCGACCAATAGCATCTGTCAGTAATTGCTATGTTCATAGCAGCTAGCACAAGCCTGCTCTCTTCTTCATCTTCCCCTCATCCTCTTTTCATCTCTTCAGTATTACCTTCAACTTCTATCGATTTTCATAATTGAAGCTATAGCCAAATGGAAGATCCTGAAGAGAAGATGAGTGGGAATGTGAGCCAATTGAGGGTCCAGTAATTAGTTTATTGCTCAATACCTGAGGTAGTTCAAGGATGATGTCTACTTGTTGATCTGTCTTATAAACATTCCACTTACCTATAACCTTACAGTTCTTGTCGTTCAAAAATAGAAGTACTAGAGAAACATTTACCTAAATAAAAGCAGTAGAAATTGCAACCCTGCATGTCAAATCAACTTGGCACCAAAAGTATGACCTTTTGAGCTTTCATCATTTATAACACTTGTCATCATTTGGACATAGAGGATCTGTTTTATCAGTATTAATATCTTCCAAAAAGTGTAGTGAAGATAAGAGCTAATAAAACTGAATGCTAAAACAGAAAAAAACTAAAGACCATGTTTACATTAGTAGAGACTCTTACGGTGTAGATGATATCAAAAGCATCAAAATTTTGAACAAGGACGCTAGCAATCCACTGTGTGTTTCACGTTTGATTAAGTATAAAGTCCCTACCATCAGACATTGAAGACAAAATCAGTTAAATTCAATTAAAAAGGGATTTCAAGAAGCATCTTGAAAAGCAGAGATAAAAACAAAGACCTCCCATGAAATCTCCTTAGTAACATGAAATTTGGATGATAGTCCACTTATTGATTTAACGTTCTGCGCACCCTAAAAGGACCTCCACTCCTTTGGTTTTAAATACTATTCTTGAAGTGTGGTGATCACCCTCATTTTAAAGCTTAAACGGTTAGAAAGAAAACACTTATATTTACTTAATTATATTTGCAACAAGCCTCCTAGTGTACAGTCTAATTCTTTTAATGGGTCAAAAGTATGTGAAAAAAAATCAAAGTGAAGGGTGTTCGCGAAACTTGAACTGAGGACCTCTACATGTTTATATACCATATTCAAGTGTGTGAATTCCTATTCTAATATCTTAAGCTTTTAGAGAGGGCACACTCTTTATTTAGTAATATATATCTTCAACCTCCCTTATTTTGAATTTCATGTAACCAAACTTATTTTTCTTACATAAATTGATCGCTTCCTTTTTGGATGACAATAATTGAGAAACTTATAGGACAAAAATATTGTAGAGCTTCACTGTATGTTTAAAAAACCTCTTTTGTTGTATATAGTAGTCAATGAAGTAGGACAAAACCTCAAATCCCAGCAAAGACAAAATGTTAGGTGAGCTTTTCACATCTATCAAAGTCTTGGTGGACAAAGTTACCACATACATGGGTTTGTGGGAGATAAGAGGTACCACTTTTACCAAAAAATTACAGAGAAAATTTGTAAGCATTTTTTGGTTACACACACACACACACACACACATATATATAGTGGTCTAAAACCTTTTAGAAAGAGAACACCTTATATTAATTAATTAGTCTATATTTCAACAATTTACATATGTTTGTGTGTGTTTACCTATATGCATGTGTGCGCATTTTTGGGTTATATAACGGCAGACAATTGAGGTATTGGGTTTTCTTATTTCTTTTTTAAGAAAACTCAATATCTCAATTGGCAAGAGATGTTTTTTGTGTATTTTTTAAGAACAATTTCCTAGAAATGGTTTTGATTGCTTGTGTTTTCGTGATGATTCCTGCTTGTTTAAGTGAATCCCTTAATTAGTCTATATTTGCTTTAGTGGTTCTGGTGACCGATGGTAGACTATGGTCATGTTCTCGGTCGGGGACATGGACAAGGGTAAGGGTGATAAGTGGGTTTAGGGAGCTTCTAGGATGAGATCAGGTTCCTTCTCAAAAAAATAAAAAAATTCCTTCTCAAAAGGATGAGTCAGGTTCTTGGAACATAGGGACTTCAACAAGAAAGTTAATAAAACTAGTGAAGATTCTCAAGAAGAAGATAATTAATATAGTTTGTGTCCTGGATATTAGACCAAACGGGTAAGGGAACTAAGAGTGGCCTATAGAGTGGTCGTTAGACCGACTTTGTTGTATGGGGCGGAGTGTTGGACGGTCAAAAACTCTCATATCCAGAAGGCGCATGTTCTGTTGCGGAGAAGAGGATGCTGAGGTGGATATGTGATCATACTAAGAGCGAATAAGATTAAAAATGAGGATATTAGTAATAGATGGGAGTGGTCTCTAAGGTTGACAAGATGAGAGAAGCGAGATTGAGATGATTTGGACATGTGAAGAGGTGCGAGAGATTGGTTACACAGGGCACAAAGAAAGGCAAAGGTAGGTCAAAGAAGTATTGGAGAGAGGTAGTAAGACAAGATATGGCCCAACTTCAGGTTACCAAGGACATGACCTTAGATAGGAGGGCGTAGAGGACACGTTTTAGAAGGATATTATTTACTAGTTGTACTATTTAAGTTCTTGTTTTTGGATATTTCTCCGTGTTAAATATTGTGTACAATAATCTATCCTAGTGTTGCTTAGTGTGTTTCAATTATTGCACTATTTGTTGTTGTTTGTTATATTTCTTCATTGTCTTGTTCTCTGGATTAGCTGCACTTGAGTCAAGGGTCTTTCGAAAACAACTTCTCTATCTCCATGAGGTAGTGGTAAGGCCTGTGTATATTCTACCCTCCCCAGACCCTACTTGTGAGATTTCATTGGGTATATTGTTGTAGGGTAAGGGAACTAATGCACGGATGAGGACATGTATAAGTTGTTGTACTCAGGAGGCTCAAGGAATATGAATGGGGATTTTTGACCAAAGTAAATACGTTTTTTTAAATTTTTACAAAACTAGTATAAACGTAGTTCACAGTAACGTTTTAGGTTATATTTTATTCAAAAAAATTGAATAACAAAAAGACAAAAATCTAACAGAGTAAACAAACATAAAACGTTATTGTCAGTAACGTTTTATAATTCGTTACTCTGAAGCACGTTTTACAGCTAAAACGTGACTCACAGTAACGTTTCTCAATGGTGAAAATTGAAATCCAATCTTGTACTCTCATTCATTATTCAAATTTGTACATACCTTCATTTGAAATATATGATTTTCTCTTTTCTTTCTCTTTTCATATAGACAATACTTTTTTTATTTTATATCTGTTTACTCTGTCAGATTTTCGTCTTTTTGTTATTCAATTTTTTTGAATAAAATATAACCTAAAACGTTACCGTGAAGTACGTTTATACTAGTTTTGTAAAATTTTAAAAAAACGTATTATTTTGGTAAATTGATTTTTATAATAGCTTACTTTGGTCAAAAATTCCATTTTAGTTGGTAAGAGCTAAGGAAGCAAGTGGTAGAGATTAAGAGGGTCAACGATAGGATGATGGTGATTTAGTCATTGGAAGGTACACTTTGAACATTATTAGAGCATACGCACCACAAGCAAGCTTGGATGAGGAAGACAAGAGGCACTTATGGGAGGATTTGGACGAGATGGTGCGAGGCATACCGCTTACTAAGAAGTTATTCATAGAAGGAGATTCGAATTGACACATAGAGTCTACTCCAAGGAGTTATGACGATGTGCATGGAGATTTTGGGCTTAGGAACAAGAGCAAAGGAGGAGTCTCACTTTTGGATTTTACCAGAGCTTTTGGGTTGGTGGTAGCCAATTTAAGTTACCAAAGAAAGAGAAGAACTTGGTAACTTTCTGTAGAATAGTGGCTAAGACTCAGATAGACTATCTACTCCTTAGGAAAGATGATAAAGGTCTTAGTAAAGACTGCAAGGTTATGTCAAGTAGAATCTTATGAACCAACATAAGTTATTGGCAACGGATTTGAAGATCAAGGGGAAGAGAAAGAAGAGGATTGTGGTTGACCAACAAAGGGATCAAATGGGGTAGCTTGATTATGGCGAGTGCCTAGGAGATGGAGGGGAAATTGGTGGCTAAGGGGCTAGGAGTAGTAGCAGGGATGCAAACAGTATGTGGGATAGGACTGCTAGTTATATTAGGAAGTGGCTAGAGAGGTGTTGGAGGTTTCGAGAGGTAGATTTGGTGGGCATCAAGAAGACTGGTGGTGGGATTGAGAAGTCTAAGGGAAATTTGAGGCAAAGAAGGTGGCATATGCAAAGTTGGTGAAAAAGTATGGACGAATAGGAAAAGTGGAAAAATAGGGAAAGGTATAAGAATAGCAAAAGAGGAGGCAAAGTGCTATGCAGCAAAAAGGCAACTTTGAAAGAATGTATATAGAATTAGAGGACAAAAGCTATAGAAGTTGTGTAGGCTAACCAAGACAAGAGAGAGGGCCCATGACCTGGACTAAGTGAGGTGTATCCCAGACGGGGACGACAGAGTTTCTAGTCTTTTTCAATGTCCTCTTGGACACAAAAATATGAACCCCCTCATCATCATCTCTGTGATGGGTTTTGTGATATATAAAATAGATACTCTCTTATCAAAAGTTTAGTGATGTAATGCATACGCCTAGTGTGGAAGTAACGTTTGATACATAGGTCATCCCTAACATAGGAAGTTTCAAGTATCTTGGGTCTATTATCTAAGACAAATGGGAGATTGACAATGATGTCTCACATAGTATTGATGTTGGGTGGATGAGATGGCGGCTCGCATCTGGAGTCTTGTATGATAAGAATATGCCACCAAAACTTAAGGCAAGTTCTACAGAGTGGTGGTTAGACCCACTATGTTGTATAGGGCAAAATGTTAGCCAGTCAAGAAGTCTTGTGTTCAGAAGATAAGAGTTATGGAAATGAGGATGTTGTGATGGATGTGTAGCCATACTAGAGAGATAGGCTTAGAAATGAAGATATCCAAGACAAAGTGAGAGTGGGCTTCAGTGGAGGACAAAATGCGAGAAGCCACGCTGAGATGGTTCAAGCATGCGAAGAGGAGATGCACATATGCCACAGTGCGGAGATGTGAGCGGTAGACTATGGACGGTTTCAGAAGAGGTAAAGGTAGGCCGAAGAAGTATCGGGAGAGGTGATTAGAGAGGACATGGTGCAGTTTCAACTGACAGAGAACATGACCTTAGATGTGAGGTTATAGAGAGGTTATAGAGGACACAAATTAGGGTAGAAAGTTAGTAAGTAATAGAGCGTTGTCTCGCTAATCCGTCCATAGTATTACACTTGTAGTTTCCTATACTACGATTATAGTATAACTTTTTTGTAGTTACTGTTCATTTTTTTTCAGAATGCTTTGACATGTTTTCTGTAGTATTTTGTTGTGGCTTATTTTTTTTGAGAAAATATGTTGTGGCTTATTCACTTCTGCTATTTCTTTTTTGCTTTGAAGTGTTTTTCCTTGAGTCGAGAGTCTCTGAAACAGCCTCTCTACCTCCAAAGGTGGGAGTAAGGTCTGCGTACACTCTACCCTCCCCAAACCCCACTTGTGGGATTACACCAAGTATGTTGTTATTGTTTTTGATTACTTAAGAGTTGTTAAATCCAATGGACAAGTTTTTCAATTCATGTAAAATGCCTTTGGTTGCTGAATAATTTCTGTAACACTTAAGATGACATGGAAGAAACCTTGTAATAGAAAGAAGCCTTAGAGAAGTCTGCTAACACAACCTAAGCAGTTAAAAGAAAACAAGAAAAGCGCAAATCAAATCAAGCTAAAACCTCAAACCAAGCAAAATTTATGATGTACCCGAGTGCAACTGCATTAAAATCTGTCCAAGGGAGCTGGAGAGTGCCATAAATGATCCACATTTAGCTGATTCCTTCAATTCTGCAACCTGAAGAAAAACAGATGACGGAGCGTCCAGCATAGCCCTGATGGCAGAGGAAGCTGCAACCCGTGCCTAGAACAAAGACAGTGCCCAATGTTTGTAGCAGAAACACAGTACTAAAATTCAGATGATACTTCACTGTATAGGTTATGAAAAAACTAAACTAACATGTAACTGCAAAATAATTATACTTCTCCTTTAGTTGCAACTACTATTTTTCCTTTTGGAGGAACCCCCTCTATCCTTACCATAGAATGGAGCTGGTGAGAAGTACAAAAATAAATAAAGTAGAAGTACCTTAAGAAATGGATCAAACAGCAAACAACTCATCAGTGTTGCCTCATACCTCCTGCAAATAGCAACAGAAAAAGGGGGAAAAAGCAAGGGCAGGTACACCAAACAAAGTAGGAAAAGTCAAATCAGAGACATGAGTAAACATCATTGTATAAATTACTTGACAGGAATCAGGATATATCAACTCACTGAACAAATGAAAAAACAAAATCTTAACCTTGGCTGTAGGACATCACTAGATGGTAAGAGCATTGTCCACTGAGCCGTAAATGATTTTGGATCAGCTAGGCAAAGGTCCTTCAAAGAAAATTTGATTATTCAATAAAATTGGCATTATACACAGCCAAAAGAACAAAGAATCATGTTTTTCCTTGAGATGTCCATGTCAACTATGGACAATTAATTGCCATCTTGCTCCCACCACACAAGGCTTTGTAATTCATCAATCAAATAGCTACTGGTGGACTTAATACAAGAAGCAAATTAATCTATCACCAACTTAAATGAATAAAAACACATGTATGAAAATTATGGCACAAGCATACAATTACAATACAAGATATTGATGGCATGCTCTTTACTTATCAAAGGAAAAAAATTGATATTGCTAACTACTCAAATAAGTACATGAAATAAAGAATTGTACAAATAGATGATATTGTGACCCATGAAGCACTTTGAGCCATCCTATCAGCTAACTTGCAAAACAAAAGTATATGTACAAATCAGAACCGTCAAAAATAGTCTGATTCTAATCAGGTCAACTGTGTCCCACATTTGCACATTTGACACTTGTTCATCAAGAAAAGAAACGAGGAGGATGAGAGAAAGGCATAACTTTGGAATATGTTCCAAACCATTTGTTATACATAAGGTAAAGTTTTATATACCTCAAGAGTATGCTGACATGTACAACAGAGTACATCAATGAAGATCTTACAAGTTGTGTAGAGAATGTGTTCCAAACTTTTAATAGTGGTAACCTACTCAGTTTTACTCTGGCATTTGAAAATTTTACTTAGAGGAGAGATCCGCAATTGTAACATAAATGATTTGACAGAAATTTCCAAATTGAAACACCACATGGTACAGGGAGTAAAGTCAGAATTAAAGCAACCTCGTAGAGGTAGCAAGACTGTAAAGAAGATCAAGAAATCCAAAATGCTACATTATAATCACTCATACCTACCAATGAAATTAAGGAGAAGGACAACCAGGAAACCTTTATTGATTCATTTTGTAGGTATCAATTAGATGTAACCGAACAAACTCAAAGGACATTCAATTCCTATGTATCTTTATATGACTAATAGAAAACAAAATCAACAGAACAGTCTGCCACTCATGCAATAAGCCATCCCAAATACTAACACTATCCAAAATGGGACTTCCATAATAAATTCAGGTACATTGTACAGTTGTTTCTCCTCCATTTTAACAATCAAAGTAAGCTTTGGATAGAAGTGATAATCAAAGATTCTTAGGACACCGTGACAGAACAACACTCCAGACGCAAAGTACCACAGAATGTTGATCACTTGATCTTAGTCAAAGAGCAGCACATTCAGAATCTTGAAGATCAATCACTATCTCATTAAGAATATTGAATAAGTCAATAGCTAGAAACTGAATAGAGTCTCCACTTTCCACTGTCAAATTACTTGGTACATTTTCTTCTTGTTATTTTTGGTATGTCAAATAATTCATTACAATACATCAAGTTGGTGTCGGAAGTATACATCACTCAAACTAATTGATCCACTGGACTCTCCAATTTTCCAGCTATCTGTACATTTTAGTAGTCAGAAAAATTTGCACTGTCAAATTCCAAGTAGATTTACAAGTTTTTGGGTAAGTTAAACATTTCATTACTATATACGTACCAAGTTGTTGTCAGAAATATATAAAAGATTATTTGTATGACTCAAACCAAGTCATCCAATGGCATCTCACAAATTTGCTAACTAGTCTACACAACAAGTATTCTGTTTTTGCACCGAAACATTGCTGCACGGTAATTGAAACTGTGTGTACATTTTCTTATTGTTGCACATGTATTCTCATTTATTATTTTTCAATTTCATTAATATATATATATATATATATATTCACACACATACGTGTGTGTGTGCGTTCTTTCATTCTGTTGTTAGCAAATCTAATAAAGTCATAAAGTTCCAGAAGTAGGATATGGGAAGAAAAGAGTCTCTTTCACAAATTAACTGGAATTCAAACCATTCAAAAACCCAACTATCAACAACAAGAACCATAAAGCTTTTGAGTAGAACCTTCCAGAATCACCACGAATAAGACATCTTTAGACTTTGATGTGATGTTCAGTACACAAAAGATCAAGCAAGATGTAAGATATTCATACCATGAAACAAATTGCAAGAAATAAGTTAGTTTAGAAATACCTGGATACAGATGATCGCAGCTAATCTAGTCTTTCCATAGAGTGTATTGCAAGTACTCCTCCCTGATCCATCACTATCACTGTTTTCTGAATCAGATGACATCATTAGTGATTTCTCATCCTTCAACTGAAAATTTTGCAGATTTTTATTCCGTAAGTGTGGAGGCATATATCGGCCTGTTTGTGATGTTGTTGATTCAGTCAAATCTGTCTTCGTGCTCACAGAAGTAATCTGCTTCTTATCAGTGATGGCAATCATACTGTGTGATTTATTAGCAAGGCCATAATGAATAAAATTCCTCAAAGCCACAACAAGGCCTGCCACCTAAGAAATGTACATGGATAACAATTTCGCAAGTTGCAGCCTATTAAAAAACAGATTTAACCTATCAAAGAAAAAAAGGGAAAGCAAGAATATTTTCAACATCAAAGAACAGAGTGCAGTCCTTACATGGCCAGACAACAGTCCCTTGGAATCTGTAAGAACCAAGTGCAGACAATGTAGAAGCGAGGTATAAAACCTGGAGAAAAGATCTTCCACTATGTTATCGATAAGAAGATCAAGACATTATAAAATTATATATACACATAAGCAAATACTAAGCAAGAAACAAACAATCCAGCCCTGCACCCTGTCCCCCCTGAAAGAAAGAAAAGTACAGAGCAACAGGATAAGAACATACCGGGCAGTGGCTCCATCTTCCTTAACAAGCCCCTTAGATGCCACCGTTTCCAAAATGTTTCTAAGGATCTAATTGACAACATAAACTCCCAAATAAAAACCTATAAGTCAATTTTAGGAGGCACAGGAAGCTGTCTAAAGTAGAATACCCACCTCAATTGTTGATTGCCAAGTGTCAACTGGTAAAGAAGATCCATATCTTGAATATAGTTCGCCAATCATTGTAAAAGCTACTATTTCAACTTCCCATAAACTGTTGAAACCAGATATGTTCTTCTTGCCTCTTGAATTTGACAAATTACTTGCCTCTGGTTGAAGACTGGAAACAATTCTGAGCAGGAAATTTAGCAGCTGCATGTGTTCAGCTAACAAACCTGTTCTCTCAGTTGCAGCCAAAAGACATCTGAAAATAGTAGATGGCAATACAAGAATCAGAAACATCAACAATCAAAAGCTCAAATGTGGTGTATTCAAAATAACAGGATTTGTTCTAATGAATAAGTGAATGACTAAAAACCTTAAAATAAATTCGGAAGTAAGGCACAGCGAAAAAAGTAAGAGACAAAGGCATAATAAAGAATTCAAGCAGAAACCAAATAAGTAAGACTAAGCAAGTGATGCCTCTATTCCAAATTTGATTAGTGACGAGACTGATGATGTCATCTGAAAAGTACAGATTAAAGGATGAAAGAAAAGATGGAAAGAAGGATAGAGAATAGACAAAGATAAAAACAAAAAAGGACAGAGAACAGACCTTGAAGTCTCAGAACATTGTTTTATGGCTATAGCCACAGAAACATCAGCAGAATTAGCTTTCTCAAGAGTTTCAACTATGCTCCTCAAGGAGTCAAATAAAACAGGCCAAGAACTAGAACTCATTTTTCAAAAACCAGGATTATTGGCATAGTATATCTGCAAAACAGCAAAACAAAATAGTCAATATAAAGTCACGTTTCAAAGGAACTTCTCTTTGTATGATAAGATGAGAACAAAATAAAGAGAGAAATCTCAAAAGTCGGACTCATGGCAATGAAGATATTTATCTCTTGATAACATTATCCACATTATCATGCGCTTTCTTGAGTTAATCAAGCATCAATTTTGTTCTTCATATGGGGAGAATCTTTTGGATTTTCATTTCTTCAAGAACCTTAATGGTGAGACAGAAGGCCTTGCTGCCCTTTCCATTTGTTAGGTCCATGTCCTAGATCAACTCCCAGAAATATTTTAGCTAACCCCTTTTGGTCTTGGAGTATCTATAGTTTTCCTTTTTAGCTTTATTTATTTGAAAAACTAAATGCCCTTTTGTAAGACTTTTAGTGCAATGCCCTTACCCTAGTTCATGAAAGACTCAACATGACAGACATGTTGTCAACTAATAGGCCTAACATGGCATTATATCTTGATGAGTGATTGGCTCTGCTGAACTAGCAGTACGGAAAATCTGCTACCATTAGTTCTAGCAATGCTCCTGACACATTATCTGTGGCAACATTTACCAGGCATATCTGGTGACAATTAGTTCCCAAACCATTAATCATCTCACTGTTGTTACAAACTTATAGTGCTTCACTTATCAGGAAAAAAAAAGAATTATAAGGCTCCAACTTCAGATAGGACTGGGAGGCCCTTCATGGATCTTCATACACGGAACTTGAACTCGCTTCTAGAAAGTGTTATGTAGACTGGTTTTTTTCCGGTGGCACAAAGACAAAGGTCTTTTCAAGCATCATTTTTTTCCTGTTAATGCCGATATCCAGGCCTACATGCGTACCCCTCGAATATTCCACCGGATACTTGCTACCTCCCACCAACACAGGTACTGCTCTATTTCTCCCACTGTCTTCATGACGTAACTGACAAATTCAGTAAGAAAATCATTGACCTTATACACTAATCTTACTTTTCCTACTTAATCAAGAAGATTTTCTCTTCTTCATACCACCTCTTCTTCTCTCCATTTCTCAAGCTTTTCATTACAAATTCACAAGATATGGAAGAGAGTAGCTCATTACTCAATTACAGATCCCACAAACACCCCATTTTTATAATAACATACATTAACTCTGACTATCTATCTATCCAATACATGCATCACATTAAAACTTGTCATACTTCCAAAACAAACGGATTATCTCATAAGCTAGAAAATAAGCGACCCACTTCATCAAAAAAATATCTACTAAGATAGAACTCATGTATACCCCAAGCATACTCAATGTCACTAGGTAAATTTCCCGCGCTTCGCGCGGTGGTGAACTACATCAATAATCTTTTCCGAACATTTGATATAAGTATTTTCGAGTGGGTACAACCCTACGATAAATTGTCAAGAATATTTTATCCAAAGATGAAATGGAATATTTTTTTAATCTTAAAACCAAAAAGATTTTATTCTAAGTGTTTATGCATTTTGTTATTAATTCTTCATTTTACAGTAGTTATTCATCACCAAAGTCTTTAGAAAAGATATGTAATTGTTTCATTCTCTATATTTGTATTTTCAAAAAGTGGTACAAACATTTTCATCAATTGCGAGAGTTTTTCTCCTATTCAAGGCCTCTACATACAAAATCATATATTATACATCTTATATAATTAGTTGTGTACTTGATAAGTTAATTAAAATCTAAAAACACATCTCTTGGAGTTCAATGAAATAACGTATGTCTCTCAAATACTTGGATAAATGATGTCTTGGCAAGTCCCTTATTCAAAATCATTCCCAGTCGATGACACTACTTTGATAGCCAAAAGGCATATTTTGTTGTTTATGTTTCGATCAATATGGTTAAAACTTTATTTTTGCAACTTTTAATCTAATGTTTATAAGGAGATAATTATTTCTTTAATATTTGATTAATATGGATTCATCCTACTTTGAGGGGTAATTCATTGATTCCAATCCAACATTTGAACCCCAAACTTTTGATTAAGGTTGTGTACAATACTTACCATCCCACGACATTCCTTTATTTTTTGGATGTCACTAATCGACTGTATGCATCGAAATAGAAAGTTGAATAACTAAAACTCCAAGGTAGTGTGGAGCCGCCATAACTTCTAAACACTCAAAAGTCCCTCCTTGGACATCCCATGGATCTTTTAGCCAATGAAAACTCTATAAAGATCGAAGTCATTTATTTTACAAGTTTAAGAATTCTAATCTACATGACACCAATAGTGTATTGATTACATCAAACTCTTGATTAACATATCTTTACTTCAACATAATGATCAAAAGCATAAACATAAACAACAAAGTTTAAAACATGTACTCAAAAACAACAATTAATAACAAAAGCATAAATTAATGACTGTAAAAAACATATCAGGATCTATAGTAATAGAATGAAACAAAAAGGAAAAAATCGAGCCCACTGAATGCACATTGTCCCCTTAAGAAAATTATTCTCTTCTAGTACCCGAGGTTTAAAGGAATAGATCGTCTTAGGTAGAACGATTCTATTCACCAGTGTATTGATACAAAAATAATGGTGTCAGTGAGCCACTTAACAGGAGCAAAGTACACGAATATTTAATTGTGCAGAAGAAGAAGAAGTAGTTCAGAATTTTCGTTGTTTTAAAATGAGAGGAAATCCCTCTATTTATAGACAACAAAGGGTAGTGTGAGTAAATGCTTATCGTGCCTTATCGGAAAGGTCGCAACTCTTTGGAAAAGTCACAACTTTTTATAAAAATCACAACTTTTCATAAAAGCCGCAACTCTTCATAAAAGTTGCAACTCTTCATAGAAGTCGCAACTCTTCGTAAAAGTCGCAACTTTTCACAAAAGTCGCAACTTTCATAAAAGTCACAACTTTTCATGGAAGGGAAGGCTAATTTTGGAAATAAATAAATTAAAAGGGAATCCTGGTTTGTGGTGGCGCCACGTAGGTGGACCTAGGGTTCTCTTTTATATATATATATATATGATATATGATATATGATTGCTTGAAAATGAAAATCCAATTGCCTCTTAAGTTGTCCCTCTACCCAAACTTTGGGGGTGATTTAATTAGGCGTTGAATTTAATAGTTGTATTCAACAGATGCACTATAAATGTAGTAGCAAAAGAAAATATTATGATAATAATTGAAAGCTAATTTGACAGAAAATAATAGAAGTCTTTTCAGTTTAATAGTTAAATGAATTCAAATACCTGAGACTGGTAGTATTTGTTTAAAATAATAATATTAGTAGTAAAATGTGTCAAGGTAGGTTAAGATTTGCGTACACATCACCCTCCCCAGAACCCACTTGTGGGATTACTGTGGTATGTTGTTGTGTCAACCAAGAGTGCCTTGTCACTTGAAATTGAGGGAGTAATATACAACCTTCAATCAATCAACTATGTTTTGATCTCATATTAGTGGAATCGCCTACATGAGTTCTGTATATCTATTCATCTATGTTTGGGTCCATGTTATCAAAATGCTGCACAATGCGGTTTTTAAGGCACAGCTCATAAGAAATGGCTTCATAAGAAGACAACTAGCTCTTCAATACTTCCAAGTTCTCAATGTTCTCTAGGTTTCATCAAATTTATCCCAAACAGTTTAGGAACAAACACAAATGAGGTCTGTAGATGCAAGGAGTTGAGCAACATTACTAATTATAAGTATTGGATCTAAGCATTATTCAAAAAGAAAATCCCGCAAAACATATAACTAAACTAGACTAGACAATATGCAATACACCAATGGTGATCCAACTGCCAACATGAACCAGGGTTTATAACATTGTTACATAGTTCAAATTTATAAAAGAGAAATATCATAATAGTGTCATAGAGTTTAGAATTATATAAGTAGAACTCTAGGAGAGAAAAAGGCAAAAAAAAATCTCACAGTTTTTTAATGGTCCGTCCCAATTTATGTGATGTAATTTGACTTAGCATAAAATTTAAGAACGAAAGAATTGTTTGAAACTTACGGTCTAAAATAAGTCATAGATACTTTTGTGCTATAAATCATTTCATTAAGGATAGAATTGACATTTTAAAGTTAAATTGTTGCAAAATATAGGAATGTGTCATTATGTTTCTAGGACCGACTAAAATGGAAAACAAAAAATGAGTCATATAAATTAGGACATGGAAGGTAATTAAAAAAAACACCTAAATTATCATATTTTTGTCAGTCTCATAGCTCAACTATCACTCCTATGTATTTTTTTTTTGAAACTGGTAAGATTGTAGTCTTCAACATTAAGGGCATGCTGGCCACCACCAAAAAGTGTCAGTTACAAGCATCCTATCAAATCTACAATCTGGTCTGTATCTACTATACACAACTGTTTACGCCAAAAAAGTAAGGATACTATACAATTCCATTTGACCTTGTGAATGGAATTTGATGTATTTTCAAAACATCTACCATTCCTTTCCTTCCAAACTGACCACCATATACATGATGGTATTAACCTCCACCATCTCCTCTGGCTCTTGCTGCCTCCTCTCCTATGTATTAAAATACATCTAAACTATCACCTTTTCCCCAGTTTCATACCTCAACTATCACTCCTTTGTATTAAAACACGCCTCGATGATGAGTTGGTCTACACACCCTTATTGTCGATTCGAAACAATAATTGGCCAACTCGGCATCCATATGTGTTTAAGTACAAATTGGGTAGTAAATTAATAGAACATTTGATAGTTAGGTACCAAAAAATGATAGTTTAGATGTGTATTTGATTAGAAATTAACAACTATCAGTCCTTTGTATTAAAACACCTAAATTATCATATTTTGTCCGTTTCATACCTTAACTATCACTACTATATATGTAGATGATGAATTGGTCTACATGCCCCTATTGTCGATTGGAAAAAAAAATTTGGCAAACTCAACATCCATATGTATTTTAGTACAAATTGGGTGATATCTTAATAGAACACTTGATAGTTGGATACCAAAAAAGTGGTATATTTTTGACGAAAAATTAACAATATTTCGACTAGCATGGTTACCTAGAACAATGTTGAAGGAAAGAAAAGGGACATTTTGGATAGAAGAATTCGAACCTTGTAGAGTCCCGAACAAGCCCAAACTCATTATAGCCAAGTTCCAAACAGTCCGACCCGAATTCAAATTCGTTTTGGCACTACTTCTTCCTCACCTAAGTGATAATCACTCTAACTGGCCGGTGAAGTTGCTCCAATTTACCTCAGAATTATAATTGGCTTATTCCAGCAACTCTTAAATAAGCAACCCAACCCTCGCAGTGCCCTTCGTTCGTTATCTGGATCTTGCAGTTAAAGAGACAGAAAGAGAAAGGAGGAAACAGAGATTCTGTACACTGTTGGCTATGGCGGAGTTGCGGTGGTCTTTAGAGAGACGTGAAACTGAAGTTGTGGCAGCGTCTGGTGGCGCTCGAGAGGAGGAGAGATTCAACTTCTTTGTTTTAATTTTTTTTAGAATTAATTAAAATAATAGTAACAAAGAAGTATATTGAAAACATATTAAATTTGATGTCAATTATTAATTTCATTTCTAAATTATTTGTACTTTTAAAAAATATTAATATTTTACTTAATTAAATGAACTTAAATAAAATACATGTCTAAATTTTTATCAAGTTTAAGAGTATTTTTTAACACTTTTCTCGACTTTTTTATTAATAATCTCATGCTTTTATAAAAGTTTGAAACTTGCTACGTCACGTGGAAGATTGGAATTGTATCTAAATTTAGTAAGCCAAGTAAAGGGATGGCTGTCAGGGGCGGACCCACGTGTTGTTCAGGGGTTCACCCGAACCCCCTCGATAAAAAATTACACTATATATATAAGGTGAATTTTCTGGATTTATGTGGATATATATATTTTGAACCCCCTCATTAACAAGGTGAAGGAGATAGCCCAGCGGCAGCTCCCTTCAATATTAAGCTTGACGTCCAGGGATCGAATCCCTGGGTTAGCGTTTTTTTTTTAGTTTTTTACTTTCAGTTTTTTTTTTTTAGTTCCAGTTCCGATTTTCATGTTTGTTTTAGTTTTTTTTTTTAATAAAAAGTGCTAAAATATGGTGTTAAACCCAAAAAATTCAAGGGTCCCATACTTCCATTCCTAAAAGCTAATAACTTTTTCACTTTCCAAATCCCTAAATAATTTTCTTGTTCTTCCTCAACACTCAAAACTCAAATATTAAAATCATCTCCCATAATATTCTATTGTTGATTTGACATATTTTAAAGGGCTAACTTTTTGTTTCACTGTAATCATTATGTTAGTTTCGGATTTCTTGTAACGAAACTAACTTTTTGAACCTATAAACTATATACTACTACTTCCTTGATTATTTTTTTTGTTGGCTTATTTACACGTTTATTTTTCGAACCCCCTGAACGAAAATTCTGGGTCCGCCACTGATGGCTGTCAGTAGTTCATTGATGAAACTAATAATTTGGATCAAGTTTATGGGTATTTTGAATATTACTCTCTTAATAATAATAATACATTTAAACTGACATTTTATCGTGTAATTTATATTTTAATTTTTTGCTATATATTACTTTCTTTACCTATTTAAACTATCACATTATTTGAATTTATGTAAGATCAATATTATGTGTCTTAGTTAACTCATAAGTCATAAGGGTTAAAAACTTGATAAAAATTTAAGGGCGTATGAATTTGCATATACCTTCAAAATATTATTATCTTACCTAAATCCTATATCTGTGGATTCAAAATTTGCATATATAATATTACTTTATCTTACCTTATTTCAATTAAAAACCTCAAATTCATAATAAAATGTCTCAACTAGACATTTTTAATTTAAATTTATTTTTTCTACATCTATTTTCATTCGTCTATCGATATAATTAATCACATAAAATATCTAATTTTTAAAATAAATATATATAACTTCAAACCAGAACGACGTCGTACCACCATCTTCAAATTTCAAAAACCCAAAAATTGTCTGCTGTACCTTTTGCTAACCGTCTGAAAATCTGGGCTTTCAGAATTGAGACAGTCTAATATATTTCTTCACAACAAACACATGATACTTTTTTTTTATGTATATGTATATATATTAGAAACACAAAAATGATTATTAAGCTTCTGTAGAACCCTAATTCCTATCAATTTGTCCAAAGGTAAGTTCAATTTTGCCTTTTTTTTTCTTCATACGTTAATAATCATATATGTAAACTCAGTGTAGAGTAGTTAGAACTACTTTTTATGTTTGCCCACATTGAATATACCCCTTTTCTGTATGGTTTATTTTCATGAATTTTGTGTTTTTATTTTTGGTTGAATGGCCAATTCTGATGTTATCGAAATTTGTAAAAACATTTACTGGTGTTGGGAGAAATTTCACTCAAAAAGGGATTTTTTGTTGTTGTTGTTATCCGAGCTCTCGCCCTTTTTGCTCCATTGGTGCTCGAATCCATTAACTCAAGGTTGGGTGAGGGTGCTTACTATCTGAGTAACCGTGAATGGAATTGCTTTTGAGAATTTTTCTTTTTTTATGTGTTTAGGTTGTTTTTTTCTCCCAAACCTTAAACATTTATTTGGAGTACTCAGGGAAATCTTAGTAGCTTAATTTGTTGACTACCTGAATTTTTATCTTGTTGATGGGGTTCAATGCCCACCTTGGAATCCCCTCCCCGATTTTTTTGAACAATAAATATGTGGAGCACTCATTTGATACCTTTGAGTATTGTACTTGGAACTAGTTTTTTTTTCTCATTTTATGCTAACACACATTGAATTAAAGCGTTTTTATAGCATAGATTGTTCTACCTGGTTTTTTTCTCTCTCTCGAGATTTTATTGTGTATATCTCTTTGGTTGAATGGTGATTTATGATTTTATCAAATTTTTAAAAACATTTACGGGTGTTGGAGGAATTCCACTCAAAGTTTTTAAAAAAAAATAATGTTAAAGGGTTAATATTTATCTTATCTAAAATATTAATGTTTACGGGCATTGGTAATTCTTTCGCAGACCCCACTGGGTAGTCCCTACACGGGGTATGTTGTTGTTGTTGGGCATTGGTAATTCTGTTTTTGAGAAATTTCGCCTTTGAATTATTTTGTTTTTCAAGCTCTTTTGTGGGTTCACGGGGGTATGTTGTTGTTGTAAGCTCTTTTGTGGGTCCGAATTCTTGGTAGAAGGAAACAAGACTTCTCTAATATTAATTTATTCATATGTAATAGTTTTTTGTTTTTGTTTTTGGGTTGCGTGTGATCTTGTGCTTGGGTATGAAACTGATGAAAACCTTTTACTATGTTGAGTTTTTTGAGTTTCCAGATTTCTGACATAGGTTGCATAGATGTTGCATTCAGATGAAGACAAAAGCAATGTGGTATGCCTAAGTTCATGTTTTGTTACTCACTATTTCTCAAGCATGTTGTAAATTTAAAAGTGTGATGTTGCATGGACTTAGTAGGTGTTTGGCCATGAGTATTTTTACTTTTTTTCAGAGTTCAATTTGGAAATCACGTTTGGAATAAAAATTTGGAAAATTTCGAAATTTGAGAAACACCAAAAAAATGTTTTCACTCTAAATCACTGGCTAAAATTAAAAAACAACTCCAATTTGTATTCATGGACAAACAAAATATCATTTTTCACTTTGAAACAAAAATTATTTTTGTCAAATACTCATAATTTTCACGGCCAAACAGGCCCTACTGTGTGTTTTGTATTTCTAAGGTACCTGCTCCAAGCGACAATGAGAGTAAGGGAAAGAGAGAAATAAAGGAAGATCATTAAAGGAGATCTTAGAATTAGAAAGAAAGACACAGGTCGTACTTTGTTTACATCATGTGAAGCCTGAAAGAACATGCAACTTGACACAAGACAATATTCACTTTGGAACTCATCATGACCCAAAAAGCCAAGGTCATGATGACATCTAACCCACCAATAGGTAAGCCAGCCCTAATCCAAACCGAATATTCATCAAAACACAAAAATAAAAGTAAAGAAGTAACAAAAGTAAGTCTTAAAGTCAAGGTTTCATAATATATACATATATATGATATTTGATTTGCCTATTTATCAGTCGCATATTTGCTAGGATACAAAAACCACAACTTAACCATTATATTTGCTAGGATACAACAACAACTTACCCATGATATTTGCTAGGATAATACTGTATAAAAATGTTTATGGAGCCTGTATAATAAATGCATCCCCTTTGCTTATATATAAGTGATTTTCCATTACAATATGCCATTCTATATTTCTATTTACATCAAGTAATGAGGTGAATTATTTCCTTCTTCTTTTTTGAAGGTTCAACTGCCAGAAGGAGTAACACCATTTATTCATATTACTCAAAATGAGTTTTTAGGGCGAAAGTGAGCTCAAATCCTTTCTTTGCTACTTTTAATGATCATCTCCCTGCCAGTTAACCGTACTCTTTGTCTCTTTCTTTTGATAATCTTTAAATTTTGAAGTTCATTTTCATACACTTGTTGCTTAGACTTCTGAATTATTGTGACATTGTTTGCAATTGTGAGTACCACTTGCATGGCATATTGATTTTAGTCATGGTCCAAAAAGTTGGTTCGGGTATCTAAGATTTGGATACTATGACTATGCAAAAGTGATTGGTTATTGCTATTGTTTTCACTTCTAAGACAAAAAATTTCATAAACCATTGATTAAAAAAAATAGAGATTAAACTTTGATAAACTATTGTACCTTGTTCCATGTTGTGCCAAGGATGGCCTGGAGTATGAATTCAATGGCAAGAAAATGAGTAAAAGAAGAAATTTGAACTCTGGATTATATCTAGTCAAGCTTAAAAGGAAGAATTTTCTGTGAGTTGAAACTAATGTTTTATAATGCTTATGTTTCATCTTTTTCCTTGTTCTATAAAGATGAGAAACAGAAAATTAGTTTCTTTCTGTGATAGAGAAATAAGTTTTTGTTTCATTCGTTAGATATTTTGTGTCCTACTTCTTAATTATGTGATTTATAGCTTTTTGGCTTTCAAGATTGAAGCTTCTGATGTCTTAACTTGAATCTCAAAAAACCACCCAAAAAAAAAAAGAAAAAAACTTGTGCCCTCAAAGATGCATATACCTAGATTAGTTGACCTTGATTTGGAGTTGAATGGTTTTCAATTATCACTCATCTTGGCTGTAGTTAGCCAATTTTAATTGGAATGTTCTAATGTCTTACAGGCATAAGAAACTGAAAGAGGATGATATTGCTATCTGTGAATGCAAATATGATGCAAGTGATCCTGAAAGTGCGTGTGTAGAAAGATGCTTGAACGTAATAACCAACACTGAATGTACCCCGGGGTACTGTCAGTGTGGTGCGACTTGCAGAAATCAGGTAAATATGATTCGTTTAATGTG